CAGGAAATGGTTGGTTTCTTTTGGAATCGCCACCTTGGAGTTGGACTGCCTGAATCCTGCACACCGTCGTAAAAAAACAGAAGGAGACCCATTGGCTAGCTGGCCAGCCGGCCGGCCTCCTTGGCCGTCTCATGATCTGAAGAGGATGCCGCCAGCGTTTGTTCTGATGAGTCGTGGGTCACGTGCAACTCTGCCCTTCGGTCTTTGCTGCCCCCAATGCCCAGGCCTGCTCCCCACGATGCCTGGCTGGTTCCACATCACGTGCACCCCCTTCAGCCCCCCATTTCCGCAGGCCACCGGCACACCTCTCTAGTCCTGCTTCCCTACCCAACTGAAGCCTGTGGACATTTGTTGAATTCATTTGTACGCAGGAGTCATTTCCTGCAGTAGTGCACAGGAGCAGAGCTCCAGCAGTAAGGAGCCCAGGGGGTGGGCACATGCAACAAGCCCTGTCCCCTGCTCCCAGCAGCCCTCAGTTGGGCCACAAGAAGCAGCCAGGTAAGTTGCAGAAACCCCCCCCCCATGCCCGCCTTCAGGTACAAGCTCTCCCTCCTCTGTGAGGACAGATCTGCACGTCCCCCACCATAGCTAGCAATCCAAAACAGTCCAGTGGCACCTTTAAGACCAAGTTTTATTCAGGTACCAGCTCTCCCTCCTCTGCAAGGACAGATCTGCAGGTTCCTCTCCCCCCCAATAGCTAGCAATCCAAAACAGTCCAGTGGAGCCTGAGCGGTGGTGGGTGCCTTCTGACACACTTCCGGTGATGTCAGGGGGTGTGGCCTATGCAAATAAGTTATGCTAATGAGTTGTGCTAATGACCTCCTGCACCTCTTTTTCTATGAAATGACCCCTGTTTATACCCCATCTTTTCCCCCAACGGGGACCAGTGTTCCCTCTAAGCTGAGTTAGTGTGAGCTAGCTCACAGTTTTTTAACTTCTAGCTTACACATTTTTGTCTTCGCTCAGGAAGGATGGCTCCAGAGCAAACTAATTTATGCAGCAGCCCAATCGCTCACTCACAACTTTAACGCTAAGAGCTCACAAAGTAGAACTTTAGCCCACAAGACTCCACAGCTTAGAGGGAGCATTGTCGGGGACCCAAAGCGGTTTACATCATTCAGTTTGGTGTCGTGGCTAAGAGCGGTGGACTCTAATCTGCGAGGACCAGGTTTGAATCCCCACCCCTCCACATGTAGCCAGCTGGTGTGACCTTGGGTCAGTCACAAGTTCTCTCAGAGCTGTTCTCCCACGAGCAGTTCTCTCAGAGCTCTCTCAGCCCCTCCCACCTCACAGGGTGTTTGTTGTGGGGAGGGGAAGGGAAAGGAAGATGGTAAGCCGCTCTGAGACTCAGAGTGAAGCGCAGAGTATAAATCACATCTCTTCTTCTTCTTCTTCCCCCCTCCGTTTTATCCTCACAACAACCCTATGAGGTAGGTTAGGCTGACAGGCATGACTGGCCCAAGGTCACCCAGCAAGCTTCCATGGCATGAGTGGGGATTCGAACCCAAGTCTCCCAAACCCTGGTCTGACTCTCTTAACCATTAAAGCACACTGGCTCTCAGCTATCACGGCCCACTCTCTTCGCAGTGCTGCAACGAATATGGCCTTTGCCAACGGCATCAGTGGAGGAAGGCTGTAGGGCTGCTACGTGGTCTTCGTTATCCACATTCATCAGGCATTACAGGATATGTATGACTCTGCTGATGCAGCATTCGGACGGAGAGTGCTGCAGTCTGTTCTGACTCTTGATGATGATGACCCTCCCCCCCAAAATTAGGGACACTGCTCTGGGAGGTCCCACAAGATGTCCTCCACCTCAAAGGGAGAATGACCATTGGTTACTCACCGTGAAGGGTCCTTGGAGGACATCTTGGCCCTCCCGGGTCGTCATTTCCTCTATCTACTATGCTGTTCTTTCACACTCTATTTAAAAATAATAATAAGATTACATGAGAGAGAGGACTCACCTTTTTCTTCCTGTTCCAATGTTTGTAATTTGGCTATACTCTAGTTGTTGATGTTCAAGTTCTCTTTTTTACAGTGGTTAAGTTAGTGTATTGCTTTTGGAGTGCCAGAACTGAGCCTAGGGTGACTCCCACTACAGGAAACAGGAAGTAGTTGAAATTAGTCCTGCCTCCCTAAGTGATGGATGGGAATCCCCCACAAGATGTCCTCCAAGCCTCAGAGGAGAAGGACCCCTCACGGTGCGTAACCAATGGTCGTTCTGCTTTCTAAAACTTTTGATGTTGTGGTCATTCGCTGTTGCCGCAAGTCTTGATTCTTCCTCTTGTTCTTCTTGGAAACGAGAAGGGATTTCCTGTGAGATGCCTTTCGCTTGATTCTGTCCTTTGACCAGGACTGGTGGGGAGGCCCCTACAAAATGGATGCTGCAAACCAGGCCTGCCCTGGGAGGAAGGAAATCCAGTTTGGTGTCGTGGTTAAGTGCACGGACTCTAATCTGGGAGAAGTGGGTTTGATTCCCCACTCCTCCACTTGCACCTGGCTGGATGGCCTTGGGCAAGCCGTAGTTCTGATAAGAGCTGTTTTTGAAAAAGAGCAGTTTCAGAGCTCTCTCAGCCCCACCTACCTCACAGGGTGTCTGTTGTGGGGAGGGGAAGGGAAAGGAGTTTGTAAGCCGCTCTGAGAATCCTTTGGGTAGTGAAGGGCGGGGTATAAATCCAATCTCTTCTTCTTCTTCTTTGAGTGTGTGGGGCAGTCCTTTATCCCAGAAACTGCTGGTCCTAATGATAATAATTATTCAGCTGAATTCTTGGAAGGTAGATCTTTCAGTGGTTATTAGCCACAGCCAGTCAAATAGAGCTTCCATGATTAGAGGCAGTGTATCTCTGACTGCTGGCAGCCAGCAATAGAGCCTTGCTGTGTAAGCTTCACCTAGCCTCCAACTGGCCACTGCTAGAAAAGACTGCTGAGCCAAGTCTGATCCAGCAAGACCATTCCTGTGCTTTTCAGTTGCCATGTGTGTGAGACTGAAGAAGAAGAGCTGGGTTTCATACCCTGCTATTCTCTACCCTAAGGAGTCACAAAGCGACTTATAATCACCTTTCCTTCCTCTCCCGACAGCAGGCACCTTGTGAGGCAGGTGGGGCTGAGAGAGTTCAGAGGGAACCGTGACTGGCCCAAGGTCACCCAGCATGCCTTGTGTGGAGGAGTCTGTGGCTCTTAACCACTTAGGGTTGCCAGGTCTGGATTGGAAAATACCTGGAGACTTTGGGGGTGGATCCAGGAGAAGATGGGGTTTGGGGAGGGGAGGGGCCTCAGCATGGTGCCATGCCATAGAGAGTCCACCCTCCAAAGCAGCCATTTTCTCCAGGGGAACTGATCTCTGTCAGCTGGGGATCACTTGTAAAATCTGGAGGCTGGGAACCCTATAACCACTACACCATGCTGGCTCTCACCCCACTGAGAGACAAGACTGTGCTAGTCCACAGCAAAACCCAACAAAGTCTTATGGCACAGTTAGCATTTAAGGTGCCACACAATATTCTTTTTTACTTAAGTACTTATTCAACCCTACATGCGTAGAAGAGAGGGGGAAACAGAGAGATCTTGGCTGTGGACAATACCTGTTACTCCAGCACTTGTGTTTACAGGCCTGCTTAATATTTGGTGTAATTCTGCACCAGGGGCAGGGTAGCCGAATTTCCATCCCAAAGAAGCCTGTATAAACCCCTCGGTTTGACACAGAAGTCTTGTGGCACCTGGGATTAACAGATGATGGTATAAGCTTTCGTGAGTCAGAGCCTGGTTTGTGAGATACGCAACAGGTATCTCAGTAGCTGTGGACAAGAGCCAAGGTTTCCCCACAGAGTGTTTCCCCTCTAATCTTGGTTCTCTTTTTGCCCTTCCTTATGTGAGCTGCTTAGCCCAGTGGCCTTTATTTGAGCTCTGGCTCCCAGCAGAAGGTGTGCGTCACGTTTTCTTGGCTGGACTGAGAAAAATGTGTCGAGCGAATGCAAAAATCGGACAGACTATCCTAGCCGATTTTATTTATTTCATTTTTCTTTATTTAATTCATTTTTACTCCATCCTTCTCCCCCGTGGGGACCCAAGGCAGCTTACCTCGTTCTCCTCACCTCCTCACCTGTGAGGGAGGCTAGGTTGAGAGAGTGAAACAGCCCTGTGAGGGAGGCTAGGTTGAGAGAGTGACTAGCCAAGGTCAGCCACAGTGATGCCAACTCTGGGTTTGGGAAATACCCAGAGACTTTGGGGGTGGAGCCTGGGGTGGGCAGGGTTTAGGGAGGAGAGGAACTTCATCAGGGTGTAGTGTTATAGAGTCTACCCTCCAAAGCAGCCATTTTCTCCAGAGGAGCTGATCTTGAGAGAGCCAGTTTGGTGTAGTGGTTAAGTGCGCAGTCTCTAATCTGGGAGAACCGGGTTTTTGATTCCCCACTCCTCCACTTGCACCTGGCTGGATGACCTTGGGCAAGCCATAGTTCTGTCAGAGGTGTTCTTGAAAAAGAGCCGTTTCTGTCACTCAGCCCCACCTACCTCACAGGGTGTCTGTTGTGGGGAGGGGGAGGGAAAGGAGTTTGTAAGCCACTCTGAGACTCCCTTGGGTAGTGAAGGGTGGGGTGTAAATCCAATCTCTTCAACCTCTTCTTCATCTGGAGACCAACTGTAATAGTGGGAGACCTCCAGGTGTCGCTGTGAGGTTGGCAAACCTAGTCACTCGGTGAACTTCCATGGCACAAGGGGCGATTCAAGCCAGAGTCTCCGAGATACTAGTCCGAGGTGTGGACATAACAAGGGTGGTAAGAGAAGGGTTGATATTTCCTCTCCGGAGCCACTCCTTTGGGGGTAGAAACCGTCAGCTTGAGAACTTGATGGGAGCTTTCCAGCAGGTCTTGGTAATTCTCGGCAGCGACGCAAGCCCTCTTTCCGTTCTTCCCCCTAGAGCCTTGCGCATCAACAATCTGTCTCGGCAGCGGCTGGCACACTGGTTGGCTGTGCGTGTGAAGTGTTTCTCTGTGTGTTCCCAGGTGTCCGGAGGCAGCTGCCGAGATGGCGCAGTGGAACCAACTGCAGCAGCTGGACACGCGGTATTTGGAGCAGCTCCACCAGCTGTACAGCGACAGCTTCCCCATGGAACTGCGGCAGTTCCTCGCCCCCTGGATAGAGAGTCAGGACTGGTGAGTGGTTTCCTTCCACTGGCTTTGGGTTTGGGCGAGCCCCTTCGCTTCTCCTAGAGCTCATCAAGTCGGCCTTGCTGGGGACAGAGGAATAGAGGGGGAAAGCAAATGGTGGGATGAGTGTTCTCTCTAAGCTGAGTTAGTGTGAGCCAGCTCACTGTTTTCTAGCCTCCGGCTCACACATTTTTGTCTCCGCTCAGGAAGGAGGGCTCCAGAGCAAACTAATTTATGCATCAGCCAAATGGCTCACTCCCAGCTTCAATGCCGGTAGCTCACAAATTTTTGCTCACAAGACACCACAGCTTAGAAGGAGCATTGGTTGGGATGCAGAGGGGGAGACACTTAAAAATAAATTGGTGGGAAAAGAAGAGCAGGGTTTTTTTTAATATATATTTTTTGCCAACAAGTTGAGCTGACTTCTGGCGACCCCTCGTGGGCCTTGAAGGCAAAGGGACGTTCAGAGGTGGCTCGCCATCGCCTGGCTCTGCCTCACGACCCTGGTTGTCCTTGGAGGTCACTCTTCCAAATACTAGCCGGGGCTGACCCTGCTTAGCTTCCAAGATCTGACGAGATCGGGCTGGCCTGGGCTATCCGGCTCAGGGCAAGAAGAGCAGGATTTTTTACCCCACTTTTCTCTACCTTAAGGAGTCTCAGAGCAGCTTATAGTCACCTTTCCCTTCCTCTTCCTGCAACAAACGTCTCGTCAGGCAGGTGAGGCAAAGAAGAGTTGTGAGCAAGCCATGACTGGCCCAAGGTCACCCAGCAGGCTTCATATGGAAGAGAACTCAGTTCTCCAGATTAGAGTCCGCTGCTCGTAGCCAGTGCACTGCACTGGTGGCCCGTTTCTGCCTTATCATTGACAGTTCATTCAGGCAGTGGCCCAGAGGTCAAATATGAACCCATGAAGCTGCCTTCTGAGTCCGACCTTTAGTCTAGCAAAGCTGGCGTTGTCCACGCTGACTGGCAGCCGCTCTCCAGATTCTCTTTCTATGACCTCCTGTCCAATCCTTTTGACTGGAGATGCCAGGGATTGAACCGGAGGACCTTCTGCACGCCAAGCAGGCACTCTGCCTCTGAGCTTCATGTATTCAGGGGAGAGGCTGTGGCTGATTTATTCTGAGACAGGCCTTTGGTCTGTCAGGGTTGGCATTGCCTACTCTGGCTGGTCATGGCTGTCCAGAGTCTTCCGCAGGGATCTTTGAAGTCACCCACTGGCTGATCTGTTTAACTGGAGATGCTGGGGACTGAACTTGTCCTCTTCTGTATGGAGTGCAGACACTGTACCTCTCAGCCGTGGCCCCTCCCCATGTTTGGTATGCAGGCTGGCTCCCTCTTCCACAGCTGTGAATGGTTAGTCTTTGTGGCGGAACAGGCCTGCTCTGATTTGCGGACCCTGCTCCGCCCACCCCTCCTTGGCATTGCCAATTCCTGGAGGGGGTTACTTCTTCCTTCCACTAGGGTAATCACTGCCAGCACCTGTTTGTTTTAGGGATCTTCCACTGGGAGGAACAGGACCCCCACTTCCCCTTCCTAGTTCCTGGCCTGGCCTCGGTGTCTTGTGCTACCCAGCGACTGGTTACAACGGGGACCAAGGACAATGTTGGGGCTCCCCTGGAGAATCAGCCACTTGCCCACTGACTGCTTTCCTCCCAACCCAGGGGTCCCTCTTGCACAAGTGTGTCCAAGCCGGTGGGGGGGTCTAGGTGGTACAGAGACTGAGAACCAGCCTCCAAAGTCAAGATTTATTGAAAAGAAGATATTTACATGCCTCCTTAAGCACAGCACTAGATCAGCAAACGGATTTCGAAAGAAAATTGGTCATAAACGCAATCCTCTATCTCTTTTCTAGACATACCCTAAGGGATGCTGAAATAGAGCAGGCACTAATGATCTTAAACAGTTACAAAGTTCCTGTCTATGTCCCATTACCTGGGAGACTGCATGGTCAGCAAAAGATGGCCGCCACGGCGGACCATTGCTCAGAAGTCTGTTCCCTTTGAAGAATCAGCACCAAGAGACCCATCCTCCTCGGAGCAAGGGCTTTTAGAATCATAGAGTTGGAAGGGGCCTCCAGGGTCATCTAGATCAACCCCCTGCACAAGGCAGGAAATTCACAAATACCTCCCCCCCCACTCCCAGTGACCCCCGTTCCATGCCCAGACCTGTGTCTCCACCAACTTTACATCACTCCCTCCACCCTCCTGACCCGGCCCACCCAGGCCACAGGTGCATCCTGGGAGCCCTCCTGGAAGGCCTTCTGGGAAATCTCCAGGAATCGCCTAGAAACTTCCTGGCACCAAATCCCTCAGTTTTTCTACCAGAGTCATTAGCATATGTATTGATGGAATCTAGCAGGCAACTGACGTGGCTTCCTGTCACCTCCAGAGAGAGGGGAGGAAACCTACACTTTTAAAACTCAGAGTAGAGGGGGGGTTCTCCACAGTCTCCATAATAAAGATAATGCCACCTAACAATAAAGATGTCCCAGTCAGTGGAGTGCATAGCTAAAGGTAAAGGTTCCCTTGTTCGAAAGCCAGTCAAATCCGACTCTAGGGTTGCGGTGCTCATCTCCGTTTCAAAGCCGAAGAGCCAGCACTGTCTGAAGACATTTCCGTGGTCATGTGGCCGGCATGACTAAACACCAAGGCGCATGGAACGCTGTTACCTTCCCACCGAAGTGGTACCTATTTATCTACTTGCAATGTCTTGCTTTCGAACTGCTAGGTTGGCAGGAGCTGGAACTAAAGACAGGAGCTCACTCTGTCATGTGGCACACTCGGGTCTCGAACTACTGAACTACACCGACCTTCCACAGCCTGCAGTTCAGCATCTTAACCACTTGAGCCACCGCAGCTCCCAAGGAATGCATGGCTACATGTGATTAAATGCTGCTGGGCTGTTTTGCATCAAATTGTCTACTCAGTATTGTCTGCTCAGGCTGGTAGCAGCTCTCCAAGGTCTCAGGCAGAGGTCTTTCACATCACCTACCGCCTGATCTTTTTAACTGGAGATGCCGGGGATTGAACCTAGGACTTTCTGCAGCAAGGCTACGTAGGGCCAGACAAAATTCCTTCAGAAGCCACTTCAAGCTACAGGTTTCTGGCTTCTGTTCTAGATGCTGGTCTAGAGTATTGACTGAGAGAATGAACTGTGAGTGAACAGGTCCCTGGTTCAAATTTCGTCTGCCACAAGCTCATTCTCTCTCTATGCCTCCCATTTGCCACATGAGGATAATCTTGGCCTCCCCTATAGGGCTGTTGTGAGGTTCACTTCATTTATACCCCACTTTTTCTCCCTGACGGGGACCCAAGGTGGCTTACTTTCTCCTCTCCTCCATTTTATCCTCACAACAACCCTGTGAGGTAGGTCAGGCTGAGAGTGTGTGGCTGGCTCAAGGTCACCCAGCAAACTTCCATGGCAGAGTGGGGATTCGAACTTGGGTCTCCTAGATCCTAGTCTGACACTCTGTCCACTACACATCGAAAGCTTTCTATGAATGCTGCCTAGTGTTGTTGTTGGTTGTCCAAAACACCAGGCTCTTTCTTTTTTTGGTGCATTTTTTATTCTGTCCTGTTTCCAGAGAGTTCAGGATGGCTCACAACAACACATCAGGTAGACTAGGCTGAGAGAAACTCTCTGGCCCAAGGTCATCCCATGAGCTTCGTGGCCCAGCAGGGACTAGAACCCAGGTCTCTTCAGTTTCAGTCCAGCAGTGCTTCGGATGATCACTTAATGATCTTCTAACTCAGGGGTGTCAAACATTCGGCCCAGGGGCTGGATCAGGCCCCTGGAGGGCTTTTATCAGACCTGCAGTGGAACTGGCTGTCTTCGGCCTCTTCTTCCAGTTCTGCTGCTGCTGCGTCATCGTAGGTTTGCAGCTTACAGATACACACCTGAACAGCACACTCAAGATTGCAACAGCACAGACATTTTGATGCAGTAATTCAGAGCAAGAGGTGTCAGTTATCAGACACTGTTAAATAAACAAAATATTGCAAGAGTGCTGATGTTTTAAGCATGTTTTTATTTTTAAAAAAACCCTTTGTGTTTGTGTCCTTTATAAAATTTATATCTCTGCTACCTGGCATTACATTTCATGACACACGTAGCCTGGCCCAACAAGGACTCATTTATGTCAGATCCGGCCCTCATAATAAATGAGTTCAACACCCCTGTCTAACTGGAATTGCATCTCAACCAAAATTTTGTAAAAATGAAATACACTTTTATTTTTGGTATTTTTTGTGTTTTTATATGTGTGTTTGTGTTCCTGGAAGTCATGTTGACCTCTGACCCTACTGGGGGCCTGGAGGATATTAAGAGAGGTGGCTAAATAAAACCTGCCCCTGCCTCTCCCGCCTCTGGTATTCCAAGGAGGTCGGCCTTCCAAGTACTTGCCAGAGTTGACCCCACTTAGCTTCCAGCATCTGACAAGATCGGGCTTGCCTGGGCTATCCAGGTCAGGGCTAAAAATGCAATAGTGGGAGTGTTTAAACGTCTAAGTGTCTTCACTGCATGGGCTTATGCGCTTGCGTTCCTTTGTGTGGTTACGGAACTCTCTGGAAAGCTGGGAAGATATACAGGAGCTTCCTGATATTAATTATACTCCCTTCCTGGTTTTAGTACAGAGTGTTTGCAGAATTAGACTTGAGTGGAGATTCTTGACTAAAGAACGGGTGGTCCTGGCCTTTTCCCGTCGTCTCTCCAATGCACTACAGGCTGTCTTGTAAATCTGTTTCTTCCTCCCCTCTCTGCTTTCTTTCCTCCCAATTGCAACAGGGCCTACGCTGCCAGCAAGGAGTCCCACGCCACACTGGTATTCCACAACCTCCTGGGTGAAATCGACCAGCAGTACAGCCGCTTCCTACAGGAATCCAATGTCCTCTACCAGCACAACCTACGGCGAATCAAGCAGTTCTTACAGGTGGGAGGGACTAGCAGAAGGGATCTTGATGGCTGGGAGGAAGAATTTGCAATGCTTCAGGTTATGCGGGGCCCTCCTGAGCGCGGACCCAAAGCTGTAAAAGCCTGAAACGGAAGGAATGTCGAAGAGGGAGGCAGTCTGGAATGGCGGCTCCTGGAATCTTTCTTGAAACCAGAGAGAGAGAACCGAGTCTCAGCTGTGTGATCCTGCCAGGGGAGATTCGCCCCCGGCTTAGTGTCAGAACCTGCGGGCTCATCTTTCATCAGGCCCTTGGCTGAATCCTGACCTCTTTATGTATGGCTAGATCTGACTCCTCTTGCGCCTTAGGGACCAACGAGATTTTGGGGGTATGCCCTTTCGAGAGTCAGAGCTCCCCTGTCAGATATCTGACGAAGGGAGTTTTGGCTTTCAAAAGATCATACCTTGAAGGCCTCAGGCTCGATGCCCTGTTGTTGGCCATCCAAAGGAACTGCCTGGCCACTGTATGAGACAGGAGGCTGGACTAAGAGGGACCCCTGCTCTGATCTAGCAGGGCTCTTCTGATGTTCTTATCAGGGGAAGGCCTCAGCCTCTGTCCCCTGTTGTTGGTGGTCAAGAGGAACTGGTTGGCCACTGTGTGAGACAGGAGGCTGGACCAGATGGATCACTGGTCTGATCCAGCAGAGCTCTCGTTATGTTCTTATCAGGGGAAGGCCTCGGCCTCTATGCCCTGTTGTTCGCCCTCCAGAGGAACAGGTTGTCCGCTGTGTGAGACAGGATGCTGGGCTAGATGAGCCATTAGTCTGATCGAGCAGGGCTCCTCTTATGTTCTTATCAGGGGAAGGCCTTGGCCTCTATGCCCTAGGAACCTGTTGGCCGTCCAGAGGAACTGGTTGGCCACTGTGTGAGACAGTATGCTGGACTAGATGGACCACTGGTCTGATCCAGCAGGGCTCTCCTTATGTTCTTGTATCTATTTTGCCCATTCAGTCGTATCCCTCCCCACAAAAGAGCAGCTAATCTTGCAACTTCCTAGCCTTGGCGAACAGAAAGGACAGCGTGCATGGGAAGTGTCCCTGAGGGGCAACCTGTATTCGGAGTGCAAGAATGCAGAAGGTGGAGACTTCAGTGCCTAGGCCCCTTTTGTTTAACTTAGGGCCTTGTTCAACTTGATGCTCCCGCAAGACTTTGGAGATCGTTTAAGCAGTGCTTCCGTTTCAGAGATTAAGCCAGCGCATAGGTTTTATGGACAGCTGTGAGAACCCTATGTGCTGGCTTAATCTCCACCCCTCCCTCCCCCAACTCTCTTCCGGGCAACTCACAAAGCATAGTCCAAAGTCTTTGTCCAGCCTCTACTGTTGCTGTATGAGACCAGCACCGCCACCTAGTGGACTGGGGTGGAGTCAGGCTGGGCCTTCCTCAGCTGGCTTCTAAGGCCCAGGGTGCCCAAGTCGATCCGTTCTGTGGGCCAGAATCCACTTGATTGGAAGGAATCAGAAAATATGAAATCCTCAGGCCCCATCCCCTGACAACATCCAGCCTTTCCCCGTGAATATTTGGTTTGGTTTTGGGGTGCTGGGGACCTGGCTTAAACAAGCTTAAACAAGATGAAGATCACCACCTTGTTCTGTCGATAAGCTGCAAACGCCAGGCTCATACAGCCTCAGTTTGCCTTGGGGGCCGTGCAGGGAAGGGAGAGAGAGCTTAACCCTTCGAACGCCACTCCCTTTCCCTATTGAAGACTTGGCTTCTGGCTTCGTTGTTAGCGCTGTAATGGAGGGAAAAATCCCAGATGTCAGCACTTCTGGGCAACTTGCCTAAGATCTGCCATCCACCTTCTTGGCGCTGTTCCGTTGGCACCTGAGCTGGTTTTCTGCTCAGAGCTGCAGTGAGACGGGCATGGAATTCAACAGTGCCTGCTGAGTCACCAAACTGGTGGTTGGGCTGAACCACATGTGTCACTGGGCTGCATGCAGCCCCCAGACCACATGCTGTGCCCCTCCGATCTATAAGGCGTCAGTGAAGGGTTAGGGACTTCTGAGAAGCAGGTTAATTTATTGGCAACGGGGCCCACAGTCAGCTTATTTTGGCTTTTACGATGAGATTCTGTGAGGCCTAAATTCTTGGCCACTCTCCTTGGGTGCCTTTCATAATTTATCTGTCTGCTGTTCCAAATCTGAAACCAGCACGACTCTTCCTTCTATACTGCATGCTACCAGCTAGAAACAAGAGTTCCATCGCCATTGAAACCAGTTCCCTCTAGACCAACTTGAAATTTGCTACTAGAGTTTGGTGAAGGGGGTTCTTTGTCACCAGTCCTTTGAAGCTGGGGCAGATCCTGTCCAAAGGGTTGACATTTCCTCCTTGCTTTAATCCAGGGGCTCCCAACCAGTGTTCCCTCTAAGCTGAGTCTGTGTGAGCTAGGCTCACAGGTTTTAGCCTCTGACTCACACATTTTCTGTCTTAGCTCAGGAAGTCTGGCTCCAAACCAATTTATGCAGTAGCCAAATTGCTGGCTCACAACTTTAATGCCAGTAGCTCACCAAGTAGAATTTTTGCTCACAGGACTCCACAGTTTAGCAGGAGCATTGCTCCCAACCTTTTCGAGCCTGTGGGCACCTTTGGAATTCTGGCACAGTGGGGTGGGCACATGGGTGCCCAAAATGGTTGCCACAGGGGGTGGAGACAGCCGTACAATAGCTGCTGCAGCTTACCTTCAGTCACACATCCTCGGGCTGTAGTAGCAGCTGTTGGTGAAGCAACGTTTTTAAACAAACATGTGGACAAGGGGGATCCAATAGATATTATTTACCTTGACTTCCAGAAAGCTTTTGATAAAGTTCCTCATCAAAGGCTCCTAACAGGAAAGGTATCAGTGGGAACCTTGGTGCCCTTGGGCACTGTGTTGGGGACCGCTGCTCTAACCTACACTGTACTTCCCAAGAAGAGCGGGAGTCTGGGTTCTGAATACCAGATTACTGGGGGTAAATAGGGGAAGACCTTTTCCTCGATGGCCTGCCCAGGAGTTTCCAAGAAGTGTCTCGCTTGGCTGTTCTTGGAGGTGCAGTGCTGGACCAGAAGACTCCTTGGTCTACCCAAGGCCGTTCTTAGGTCTCAGCAGTGCTGCACGATGGCAGGAGGTTAAAACAAAGGAACTGCTTGTGCGATAGGGTTGCCAGCAGTGTCCCCTCTAAGCTGAGTTAGCGTGAGCTAGCTCACAGTTCTTTAGCCTCCGGCTCACACAGTTTTGTCTGGGTTCAGGAAGGAGGGCTCCAGAGCAGACTAATTGATGCAGCAGCCAAATCACTCGCTCACAACTTTAATGCCAGCAGCTCAGAAAGTAGAATTTTTGCTCGCAGGACTCCAGGGCTTAGAGCTTACCAGGTCCCTTTTGCCCGCCAGCAGGGGGATGGGGGGGACATTCCAGGAGTGGGAAGTGATGTTGCCCCCCATGCCCCCCCAAACAGCATCCCTGCGTCACCTGAAAGTGACGTTGGCACATCAGGGGCAACGCTTTGGATTTTGGGCAAAACTCTATGGTAAAATCGGCATCTAACCATAGAGTTTTGCCCAAAATCCAGAGCGCCGCCCTCCGACGTGCCGACATCGCTTCTGGGTGACACAGACATTGTCGTGTGTAGCGTCACGGTTTCAGGGGGAATGGGGGGCCGACGTCACTGTTGGGGGGGGATTCCCTGCTGCCAGTCATCTGACCAGTGGGCAGAATCGGGGGATCCTCCACCCCTACCGGGCCAACGGCAACCCTATTGTGTGAGGACACCTTTAGCACTCACTGCACATTCTCGACGGTGCCTCCTTGCTCCTGTTTCATTCAGCCTGTGTCCCTCTTTACAGAGCAGGTACCTGGAGAAGCCGATGGAGATTGCCCGCATCGTCGCCCGCTGCCTCTGGGAGGAGACGCGGCTCCTGCAGACAGCAGCCACAGCGGCACAGGTGAGAAGGGAGGCTGCCTCCAGGCGTTTGCCCTGCCATTGCTATCGATTCCAGTAAAGGAGTTGCCGACCGGTCGGTCGTAGCCTCAGCAAATTTCTACGCTCAAAGGAGGTGCCGTGCAAGCGCACACTTTTCTTGTGTGCGCCGGTGCTGTTGCTTAAGGAGCAGAGACAGTCTAAATTGACGCCATGAATCTTCCAAGCTGGCGTTCCTTAAAGAGTCGACGCCTCCACTTGTCGGGAAACAGTGGCTCCTGGCTAAGGGAGCACGGTGCTCCAGACAGGTTTCTGCACGCGGCTGTAATGTTTCTGGGATTTCCCTTCTATCTGCCGATCTCCTTATTGTTGCGTTTGGGGGCTTGGTTTTAAGTGCAGCTCTTAGAATTGGGCCAGGGGAGGCAGGGGCAGGCCGGAGTTGCAGTGGGACTTTGGGGGGCTCTGCCCCTTTCTTTAAAGGCACAGCCCCGCAAGAAGTTCTCCTGTAAATTCCCTTTTCAATTATTTTTAAACATTTTTTCAAAGGCATGCGCTCCTTTAAGCAGAGTGAGGTGCTGTAGTTGACTAATTCCCGCGCTGAGCAAGGGGGTTGGAGTAGGTGACCTCTAGGATCCCTTCGAACTCTGTGTTAAGAAACTGGTGTCCTTGAAGAGAGTTCTTCTGCCTAAGTGTTAGCTTTCTTGACTATAGAAGTCGTCACCCCCACCTGCCAGCTTGTTATCAGGATTGTTGCTTAGGCTGGCAGAAGCCATTAACTTGCAGCAGCTGAGAACTGTCCTCTAAATTGGTTGGCAGCTTGCAGTTGAGAGATCTATCCTGGTAACAGCTTCCTTTTGGCCAAATGGTTAATAGGCTAAGGGTGATGGCTAGCATACAAACACCTATGCAGAACAGACAGCTTGAAAAGACTCAGAGAGAGAGAAGAATAGCTGAGTCATAAGAATTATCTCTTTTCTTTCTGCACTGAGAACTTCAGCCCCACCAGAGAAAAAACTGCCCCACACGGCACAAAATTCTGGCTACGGGCCTGGTGGGGGGAGACCAAGAGAGATCTTTCCAGGACTAGACTTATGTCAGCCTCCCACAGAGGAGGCCATTCCAATACAATCCTGAATGTGGTATCTCTTTTTGAGAATCATCCTGCGCGATACACAGTGCAGTGAGCAGAGTAGAGAGCTGCAGGAGACTCAAGCGCATGGGAAACAATGAAGGGGGGGGGGAGCCCAGCAAAATGGGGAACAGCGAAAGGGCCAAGCCCCGTCGACAGTGGAAAGCAAAAATAATCATCATTATAATCAAAACTCTCATCCTGATCAGAGAGCCAGTTTGGTGTAGTGGTTAAGTGCGCGGACTCTAATCTGGGAGAACCGGGTTTGGTTCCCCACTCCTCCACTTGCAGCTGCTGGATGACCTTGGAAGAGCCATAGTTCTAGCACAGCTGTCCTTGAAAAAGAGCAGTTTCTATCAGAGCTCTCTCAGCCCCACCCACCTCCCAGGGTGTCTGTTGTGGGGAGGGGAAGGGAAAGGAGTTTGTAAGCCACTCTGAGACTCCTTTGGGTAGTGAAGGGCGGGGTATAAATCCAATCTCTTCTTCTTCTTTTTCTTCCCTTGAACAAGATTACAGCAAACCATCAGGCCGCACTTAGATGCACAGTCTGTGTGTGGCCTCCTCGTGAAATGCTCGGCCTCTTTCCTTTAGGTAGAGCCATCTCTCCATCCCCTTGTCCCCCTGTGTAAACAGTGATGCACGCTTGATTTGGAATTGGGGCGGAGGCAAAATCTGTTGGCTTTCTTTTGGACAGAAATCGACCAGTGGCACAGGGTGTTGCGTGAGGCTGACCTGGCCTTCCTCTTCTCTTGCCTTGTGTTTGCTCAGGGTGGTAGTCAGAAGAAGGGAAACTGGCTGCTTGAATGCTATCAAGAGGGAAGAGAGATAACTAGCGCAGGGAGTTCCCTCTTCCCTCAGTTACACTAAAGGAAAACAAGAAGGTGGATCTGCATAACAAATGTCTAAATATTCACACCATCATTATAAATATTCTTTAACAAAGCACTTTTATATTTGGGTTCAAAATATGTTTGAACAGGGGAGAGAAAAACACACTAGTTGCTGGCCCAGATAAAAAATGCTGATTTTCCTCCTCCTCTTCCCCTCAGCAAGGGGGACAGGCAAACCATCCTACAGCTGCCGTGGTAACAGAGAAGCAACAGATGCTGGAACAACACTTGCAGGATGTGAGGAAGAGGGTCCAGGTAGGTGAGCGAGGGAGGACCAGCCTTCTCCCTTCCTCGGCCTCAAGATCTCAAACGGCCTCAGCACTGACCTCCTGTCTTCCTTTCAGGACCTGGAGCAGAAGATGAAAGTGGTGGAAAACCTTCAGGACGACTTTGACTTCAACTACAAGACCCTGAAGAGCCAAGGCGGTAGGTGTGGGGAGCTGGTTGGAGCTGTTTAGCAAGCAAAAGGCTTCGTCCTGCCAAAGGAAACATCAGCAGAGAGACTTCTGTCTGCCACTGGAAGCATGAAAGAGCTCATTAGAATCCAGGGATTGGGACTTTGCTTTTGAAGGAGAGGCAAAGGTAATTTGCCTGGGAATCTTTGCCGCAGGAGCTTGGGCTGGTGGCCACCTGGATATGCCTATAACCAGGACTGTGTAGGTGCTTAAAAAACAAAGAAAACCTAGATTTGGAAACCTGATTGTGCTATTAATATTATGTATATATTTGCATAGCTTTGTCACTTTGTTGCTCTGGAGGAACAAGTTATGCAGAGTACTGAAGTTCCTTGGATACTGGTCAGATTTTCTGTGGTGTCTGAGAATTCAAGAGGCACTGCTTGAACATTTTTTGAGCATTCCTTGAGAGCCAGTTTGGTGTAGTGGTTAGGAGCGTGGACTCTCATCTGGGAGAACCAGGTTTGGTTCCCCACTCCTCCACATGCAGCTGCTGGTGTGACCTTGGGTCAGTCACAAGTTCTCTCAGAGCTGTTCTTTCAAGAGCAGTTCTCGAAAGAGCTCTCTCAGCCCCACCTACCTCACAGGGTGTCTGTTGTGGGAGGGGAAGGGAAAGGACATTGTAAGCCGCTCTGAGACTCCTTCAGGTAGTGAAGGGCTGGGTATAAATCCAATCTCTTCTCCTCTTCCTCCTTCCCCCACCCCCCAGCAGCTTCTGATCACATCTTCAAAACTATAAGGGCCAGAAACTTGAATACCATTTTCCCCCTTAAATTATAGCTGAGAGTCTCATGATGCTCAGTTCTGAATGTTTATTGCCCCATTTCTTCCATGTTTGTTGAGGGCGGCCTTCCAAATACTTTCAAGAGGTCAGCGAGGCAAGGCTTCAGTTTGTAGAGGCCATGGCGATCCTTCCTCAGCAAGGCTTGTTCTTCTATAAACTTAGCAGGTCTAACCTTGCAAATAAATGCTTTATGCTGGTGATAAAAATTTGTAATTTGGAGGTGCCTGAAGCAAAGCTGAGCAAAAACCCATACATGGGTGGGCTCTTCCTAAAGCCTTTATCATCTAGACTGATTTCCCCCAAGAAGCTGTGCCGCCCTCGCTCTTCTGTCCCCCCCCCCGCTTCCATTGGTCAATTTCACACTATTTGCTGCGCGGCTGCATTTTGACCCACAGCTCCCCCCCCCCCCCCCGATTTCCCCTGCATCTTCTTGATCTCAAAAAACAAGGATCGAGAGGACGTGGGGGAAATCGAGGGGAGCTGTGGGTTAAAATGTGGCTGTGCACTGGGGAAACAGAAGAGCGAGGGCGACGCAGCTTCTTGTGGGAAATCAGTCCTAATTTAGCCAAACTACCCCAGGAAATAAATCTAATTGGAGGCAGCAGAGGAAAAACCCAAAAAACATTAGGGTAGGCTACACCCAATATGGGAGCCTTAGGACATTTTTAAATAGTAGACCAATTAAATATCTAGTAGAACAGTCTGCAGATAAAGAGCAGTCAGAGAAATTGCAGAGACATGAGAAAGGAAAGGCTGTTAGGCAGGCTACAGTGAACCAGAGGTGCCAAAGTCGGGGCGAAAGATGAGCAATATCTACAAGAGAAATGTATGAGAGTATGAAGCTCAGTGCAAAGAGCAGCGAAGAGGAACCAGTAACCAATGCAGAGAAACCAAAAGCAGAGAAACAGGATCATAACTGCATGCAGAGGGGGGGAAAGTCAGCTGCAGCATGCAATGATGGAATGAGGCACGCGTTTACCACAGACAGAGGTTAGCCTGTTCAGTATAGGTGGACGAAGAGGATGCGAGAAACCGCAGAACCCTTTTGCAAGTGTGCGTGAAGCCTTCTCATTTCTCCTTCCGTGGCTCTCCTTTTAGACATGCAAGATCTGAATGGGAACAACCAGTCGGTGACACGGCAGAAGATGCAGCAGCTGGAGCAGATGTTGACAGCTCTGGATCAAATGCGGCGGGTAAGCGCCGTGGGGAGAAGGCTTCTGCCTTTGCCCCAGTTCCAGACATCCCCGTCCCAGTACCCAAATGGCCTGGGGCTCTCCAGCAGCTGCTGTGTGTGCGCGTGCGCCCCTACCTTGCTTTGCAACATGTGGCCCCAAGCAGAAAGGATCAGACTTTTGAGGAGACACTGGCTCCCTACTGACTATCATTCATCATGGGAGGCAGCAACCTTTGGGCTTCGTCCATAGGGCGGCTTCACACATAACACGGGCACTTTCTCCTTGGCTGGTTGCAGCTGAACGTGTGAATTGTCTTCATTTAGAGAAATGCAGTGGCTAAAGCCATGGACTGAGACCAGGGAGACCTGGGTTCAAATCCCTCCTCTCCCTGGCTGGTCTTGGGCCAATTACTGCCTTTTAGCCTAACTTACTTCACAAGGCTGCTGTGGGCATGAAACAGATGAGCATGCTGCTCTTAGCTCTTTGGAGGAAGGGTGGGGTAAAATGCAAGGTGTACGTATATGTAAAATGGTTACATTTCAGAGTATTGTTCATAAAAAAGCACTCCATTTAATGGCTTTTTCTGCATTCTCATTTTCCTTGCTTGTGTGTTCCTGTTGCTTACAGGGTGGTTTCTGTTCTGTGCATATCTTGCTCCCTCTAGTGGTCAATTTGAGATTATATTGCTGTATGACCGGCATAAAAACCTGCAGTTTAAAACTGCAAGGAGATATGCTGGACATAATCTGATGTAAAATCGAATCAACCACTAGAGGGAGCAAAACACATGCAGAACAGAAAGATCTCACCCTCCTTCCACCCCCTGAAGCAACAGAAACACACAAACACACAAGGTTTATGTTGTACTCCTGGAAGGACTTGGTGCATGCCTGAACTTAAGAAAAAGAGGGCTCTGAATGTGCCCGTTCCTTCCTTCCACAGGGAATTGTCAGTGAGCTGGCTGGCCTCTTGTCAGCCATGGAGTACGTACAGAAGACTTTGGTGGACGAGGAGCTGGCTGACTGGAAGAGACGGCAGCAGATCGCCTGTATTGGCGGCCCGCCCAACATCTGCCTCGATCGCCTCGAGAACTGGTAAGGACTGAGTGGCCTGACTGCCCTTCCTTTTTCCAAGCCGACTCATCGGCATATCTTTCCACAGCGTCTCAGAATGAGAGCTTGGTTTGCCAGTGGAGTGTTCGGTTGTGGAGTATTCTGTTGTGCAGGATAAAATAGGGTTTAGATTGGCTTTAAAAAGAGATATTAGATTCGTGGAGGGGAGAGAGGCTCATCAGTACTGTTGGCTGTGGTGACTGAATAGAACCTCCATGTTCAGGGGCAGTGTACAAGCAGGAGGTCCTAACTTAAATCCACAGCATCTCCAGTTAAAAATTTATCTGGTGGCAAGACTGGGGAAGATGCCTCCCTCCCTCTCCCTGGTCCAAAACCTGGAGACCTGCTTCAAGTTGGAGCAGAGGGTGCAACCACAAGATGGATGAGTGGCATGACTCAATATCCAGCAGCTCCAAGGAGGGCAGTTTTCTGACATTTTGTTTAAACAAAACGGCTGCCACAAAATGGCTGCTGGAGGAGGTGGAGCCAGCCACAAAATGGCCACCAGAGCTGACCTTCTGTCACACAGTGCAGATCCTCATGCTGTGGTAGCAGCTGCCGCCAAAGCAATGTTTTTCAAGATCTGCACAGCCAATCAGAAGCCTTGCTGAGAAAAGCCCCTCATATTAACAAGTTGAGGACTCCTGCAATACATGTCTTGTGTGTTGAGACCCTTTCCTTTCCTCTGTTCCCAGGATAACGTCCCTGGCAGAGTCGCAGCTGCAGACACGTCAACAGATCAAGAAGCTCGAGGAGCTTCAGCAGAAGGTCTCCTACAAGGGTGACCCCATCGTTCAGCACCGGCCCTTGCTGGAGGAGCGCATCGTGGAGTTGTTCAGAAACCTCATGAAAAGGTACTGCCTCAGCTATTAAAAATGCAAGGCCGCTAAAAATGCAGTTACAGTTTTATTGGCAGCTTCCAGAATGGTCATAGCTAGTAAATGGAAAAGCAAGTCTAAACCAACAATACGAGCATGGTTTAGCAAGATAGCAGAATATTTTGTTCTAGATAAGTTAATGTGGGGGTGTCAAACATGCAGCCCATGGGCCGAATCAGGCCCCCAGAGGGCTTCTATCAGGCCCGCAGTGAAACTGGCTGTCTTCTGCTTCTTCTTCCAGTTCTGCTGCTGCGTCGTCGTCATACGTTTGTAGCTTACAGATACAGACCTGAACAGCACACTCAAGATTGCAACAGCACAGACATTTTGATGCAGTAATTCAGAGCAAGAGGTGTCAGTTATCAGATACTGTTAAATAAACAAAATATTGCAAGAGTGCTAATGTTTTAAGCATGTTTTTGTTTTAAATTAAAAAAAAAACCCTTTGTGTTTGTGTCCTTTATAAAGTTTATATCGCCGCTACCTGGCATTGCATTTTGACACACATGGCCCGGCCCAACAAGGTCTCATTTATGTCAGATCCGGCCCTCATAACAAATGAGTTTGACACCCCTGAGTTAATGGATAAGTTTAAATCTGCAGAACATAGTGAATACCGTTTGTTGTTTACAGAACAGTGGTTCCCTATTTTATCCTATCTATCTACTAATGATATAAGAATAACTCCGTTATGTGTTCAGAAGTTATTAATATTTTAGGTTTTGTTATCTTTTGAAGCAAAGTTCAACCTCTGAGTACTGATGAATGATTGATGTTACATTAAATGGTTTTTCTGGCCCCCCTGAGGAGGGAACATAGCTTTTACTTATTTACTGGGGTAAAGGGAGGAGAGAGTCATAACAGTGGTGATGTATGAATGACTTGTTACTGTAATATTTATTGGAGATTGTTGGTTACCAAGCATTTTGATTGTTATTGTTATAATTAATAAAAATAGTTTGGGGAAAAAAGGTACTGCCTGCCCTCATTCTGGGCACCTTGGAGCCTTTTTTGCGGAAGGAGGAAGTTTGGCCCGGCATCCCTTCTCACCTCTGGTTTCTCTCTCTCCTTGCAGTGCATTTGTGGTGGAGAGGCAGCCCTGTATGCCGATGCACCCCGATCGGCCACTGGTGATCAAAACGGGAGTACAGTTCACAACGAAAGTGCGGTGAGTTTTCGCCTGTGTCCCGGCATGGGTATTTGGGGTGGGAAAGAGCGAGGGGTGAGGCTGCCCTGTGGAGCTGAAAGTCTGCATCGGAAAAGGCTAAATCCTGCAACCTATATCAGTGGTATTTGTATCTATTTAAAAGCTGATAGGTTGCCTTTTTTAAAAGAAGGAAGTTATCAAAGGAAGAGTATAATAAAATCATAGAAACACATACCTTCCCAACCACAAACATTTTTAAAAAGAGCGAGAGAGCACGGCAACTCTTTGTTTGCACTCCATGGCTCAAATCTGCAGTTAATGCTACATAGAATCCTAGAATCATACAATTGGAAGGGGCCATACAGGCCATCTAGTCCAACCCCCTGCTTAATGCAGGATCAGCCCAGAGCATCCCTGACAAGTGTTTGTCCTGCCGCTGCTTCAAGACTGGTAGTGAGGGAGAGCGCATCACCTCCCGAGGCAGCCCATTCCACTGTTGACACAACTCTTACTGTAAAAAAGTTTTTCCTAATATCCAGCCCCAGTACCTTCCTGCCCTTAAATTAAACCCATTATACTGAGTCCTGTCCTCTGCTGCCCACAGGAACAGCTCCCTGCCCTCCTCTAAGTGACAGCCCTTCAGATACTTCAAGAGAGCCATCCTGTCCCTCCTCAGCCTCCTCTTCTCCAGAATGACCGTTCCCAGGTCCTTCAGCCTTCCCTAATAGGGCTTGGTCTCCAGGCCCCCTCGTCGCTCTCCTCTTGCACCTGCTCCATTCTGTCCACATCCTTTTTGAAGTGAGCCCTTCAGTACTGCACCCAATACTCCAGGTGCAGCTCGACCAATGCAGTGTACCATGATGACATCTTGCGATTTGGATGTTATGCCTCTGTTGATGCACCCCAAGATCGCATTAGCCTTTTTTGTCACTGCCTCACCCTGGCTCCTCTTACTTAACTTACGGCCCACCCGTACCCCAAGATCTTGTTCACACACACTGCTATCAGTTTTGAAAACAGCTGAAAAAGAATAAGTAATCAGACAATAAGAACAAGCAGGTTAAAGAGTGGGTAGAAATCCAAAGCCCTGACTTGGATGGCCCAGGCCAGCCCGATCTCATCAGATCTCAGAAGCTAAGCCGGGTTGGCCCTGGCAAGGACTTGGGTGGGAGACCGCCAAGGAACTCCACAGTGACTATGCAGAGGCTGGGGCAAAACCACCTCCGAACATCTCTTGCCTTGAAAATCCTGCCTGGTCAGTATAAGTCGGCTGCAATTTGGTAGCACTTTCCAGCACTGACGTAACGAAAGCCCAAATTGCAGATGTGTTTGCTGAAAACCCTGGAGAATGAAAAAGTCTTGACTTGACACAAAAAAACCCCCAGACAAATAAATACATAAAATAAAGTAGATCCTCATGAATCTGCTTATGAAAGGAGAGATTCTCAGTTCCTTTGTGCAAGTTAAACATCGGGTGTGAAGAACAGATTCTGCAAAGGTAGCAGAAGTGGAGCTCTCTTTTTTAATACAAATTTGATTGAAGGATTTAAAAAGTTTAAAAAAGATGAAAGGCAAAGAAAGAAGGAAGCGAAAGCAAGAGAGAGAAATATAAACGACAAGCTTTCGATTTTCTTCGCAACAAATACTGGCAAACTTACTCACAGTTGTTCTGTTATCATCAGATTAAAACTTCTCATTTTTCTATAATCCGTATTCCCCTCTTAGTCTTCAAACGCAAAAAGTCAATAAAGGCTTTCCAGTTTGCTATAAATGTGGATAATGTCTTCTCTCTAATCAAAGCCGTAAGTTTAGCCATCTTGGCTAACTCCATCATCTTCACAATCCACTCCTCTATTGATGACAATATTGGACTCTTCCATTTTTGAGCATATAAAAGCCTGGCTGCCGTTATCATATATAAAAACAAAATACCATGTCTTTTTTCTAGCTGTTCATCCATTATTCCCAACAAAAAAGCTTCTGGCTTAAATTGTATGTTAATCTTCAAGATTTTCTGTATTAGCGAATGAATTTGTATCCTTTTTTTTTTTTTTTGCTTTATTGCAAGTCCACCAAAGATGATAGAATGTTCCTTCATGCTGTTCACATTTCCAATATTTGTTCGAAATACTTTTATACATTCTAGCTAATTTTTCTGGAGGCATATACCAACCATACATCATTTATAAAAATTCTTTTTGAGAGCAGAACTCAAATTTAACATCTTTCATCCATGTTTTCTTCCATTGTTCCATTTGTATATTATACCCAAATTTTAAGCCCATTTTGTCATTGAATCTTTCGCTCCTTCTTCTGTCTCAAATTTCAACAGAAGTCTGTATATTTTAGCAATATCATTGAAAAGAACAGTTCCCAAAAGAGCTCTCTCAGCCCCACCTACCTCACAGGGTGTCTGTTGTGGGGAGGGGAAGGGAAAGGAGTTTGTAAGCCGCTCTGAGACTCTGAGTGGGGTATAAATCCAATCTCTTCTTCTTCATTATTTGTATATAGTTCTGCTTCCAATTCAGACTTGCTTTGTTCAAAGCCCCAAAGATTTTTTATCTGTTTTCAGTTTTTCTAACAATTGTGCGTAAAAGAACCATTGACACGTGTAGCCTTTGGCTGTCAAGTCTTCTCTTAACTTCATTTTACAGTCCCCTTGTGAAAAGCCTAGTATATCCCGATAAGTTAGGCACTTCTGTTTAGTTACAATCTCACGCCTATAAAATGCTTCCTGTGGTGAGAGCCACAAGGGTGTTTCCTGACACAGTCTAGGTTTATATTTATCCGAAGTGGAACTCTCAATATCGGATCAGACTGAACAAGAGGCTGGTTGAGCACATGTTTAGAATGTCGAAGTTTCCAGGGCACCCCCTGGCATCTTCACGTCAGAGGTGTTGGGAAAGGCCTTTTTCGTGAGGGTCTGCTGCCGCCAACCAGGGTAGATGGTACTCAGCCACGTGGCCCAATGTTCTGACTCTGTACGAACCTGGTTTGTATGTTTGTTGGGTGCTGCCGTTCGGGACGTGCCGCTTTCTGCTGGGCACTTATGCAGATGCTTTAACTGGATCTAGCTCAGTCTAGAGAAAATAAATGAGTGGTGGAAGGGGGCAGAGGGGAGGCGGGAGTTGTCTACAGAACCTAACATGAATTCTGACCTTTTGGGTTTGTTTGTTTTTTGCAGGTTATTAGTCAAGTTTCCTGAGCTGAACTACCAGCTGAAAATCAAAGTCTGCATCGACAAGTAGGTTTAAGCACTTTGCGGCACACTTGAGGGGAGGGTGTGGCCGTCTGTGTGTGTCTGTGGATTATGTGGGTGTGCCGATCCCTTTTAGTCCTGAATTGTTATTACTTGAAGTGTGGCCGGAATCTCCTCCTCCAAAACATGTGAGAGAAACAATATAAATTTTAATGGCTGCTGCCAGGCCTACCATAGCCGCTACATGGAAATCGGACTCAGGCCGTCCTTTAGATCTGTGGTATGATAAGCTACGGATGCAATTTATTATGGGGAAAATAGCGAATGGCACTGCTAACCATCCTAAGGAGGATTATCAAACACCATTTATGTGTAAGTGGTTTTCAATACTCCAGTTTCTTTCAAAAAAGGAAGTGGTTCCCTCCTTTGTTAAGGATAAACACTGGCTTTGTTTCTGAATCCATGATAGTTAAAAGCTAAATATCTACTAATGCTACTAACCTACCAATGAGCTGATGTATGTAGTAAGATGAATGTCTTGTTTATGAGCAAAACAATACCTCCTTGATTATTTAGACAATGTTAATAGGCGATTGTTGTCACGATTGTAGCTCTCCCTGTCTTTTTATTGTTAGATTCTTTTCTGTTTTATGCTGGAAAAATGAAGTGGATCATGTGGGTGTAAAGCATTTTAGTCCTGTGCATCTGTCCGGAATAGAGACCTCCATTTCTTATTTGGACTTGTGGTGATAAAATATGCTGAAAGGAGCAGCACAACACCAGCCTGTTCAGCTTGGCGGCAGCAGCTGTCTCAAGGATTAATATTTTTGCCAAAGTTTTGCTCGGAGCTTCCTTAGAGTGGGGGTGGATTGGGGGGGGGGGTTGGTATTTCGTGTGTGTGCACGCTTGAGCCCCTGGAATCCCGATTGACGTCTGGCGACCCCTAGTGGGTCTAGGACGTTTCAGAGAGGTAGCCTGATACTTGCCTGCTGCTGTGTCCCGGTTCTGGTATTCCTCGGAGGTTGCCCTTCCAAGTACTTGACAGGGTCGGCCCTGCTTAGCTTCTGCGATCTGACAAGATGAGGTGAGCCTGGGCTATCCAGGTCAGGGCAGAGTGGTTTTCGCATTCCTTCTAGCCGAACTCCCTTAGGACCAACCTGCACCATTCCACCGCCCGTTCTCATCCCTGCACTCCAAACCACCCTCCCGCCCCTCCTTTTTCTTCCTGTAGTGCTTTGCAGTACCACCCTGCCCCTTCTCTGCCATCGCTATATCCCGCCCCTCTGCCTCTGCTGTGGCCCTGCCTTGGTTTTGTATCGCATAACAGAAACCCGCTCGTCATGCACTATTCCTGGTCGCACAATATTAGATCGGGATCGACCACTTGAAAGGTACTGACGTCTGAGCGCCATCCCAAATGAAATGCTAAAATGTTACCTGTTTAGTGCTATTTGGATTATTATTGTTAGCACCTTTTAATGTTGTCATTGTTATATGGTTTTATGATCATTATACTATTTGTTGTTGTTTTTATGCTTTTGTAAGCCGCCATGAGCCAGCCATGGCTGGGAGGGCGGGGTATGAATTCAATAAATAAATAAAGTCCTGTGCTTTCTTTCTCCCACAGGGATTCCGGTGAAGTCGCTGCACTCCGCGGGTAAGTTCAAGACATCACAAGCTGTGGCATCCCCTCTTCTTTTCCAAACTCAGTAGTGGAAGAATGCTAGGAAAAGTTGAAGGCAGCAGGAAAAGAGGAGGACCCAACATGAGAGGGGCTGACTCCATCAGAAGAAGCCACGGCCTTTGGTCTGCAAGACCTGAGCAAGGCCGTTGAGGACAGGACATTTTGGAGGGTATTCATTCATAAAGTCACCATGAGTTGGAAGTGGCTTGATGGTCCTTGACACAAACACGCTGGAAGAAAGATGCTATATAAATGAAACAGATAATAAGGTGTTGTTCTTGGTTCCCAGATGCGTCCAGCCTCCCCTGTTGCTCTTTGGGGAACAGTTTTAAAAACTATTTAATAATCAAGGAATTTCAATTTTTTCCCCCTTTGTGCCATTTCTCATCCCTCTCTCCCTCACCCAAGGTCTCGGAAATTTAACATCCTGGGCACAAACACCAAGGTGATGAACATGGAGGAGTCTAACAATGGAAGCTTGTCTGCAGAATTCAAGCATCTGGTGAGCAGCGTGACTTTTTGACACCAGTTTGGTGTAGTGGTTAAGTGCGTGGACTCTAATCTGAGAGAGCCGGGTTTGATTCCCCACTCCTCCACTTGCACCTGCTGGATGACCTTGGGCAAGCCATAGTTCTGGTCAGAGCTGTTCTCTCAAGGGCAGCTCTGTAAAAAGCTCTCTTGGCCCCTCGCAGGGTGCCTGTTGTGGGGAGGGGAAGGGAAAGGAGTTTGTAAGCCGCTCTGAGACTCCCGAGTGAAGGGTGGGGTATAAATCCAATCTCTTCTTCTTCTTCCTTTTCACCCTGATGGGTGCCTGGGGGGTCACTGGCCACACTGTATATAATTCCTACCTTCTCTCCACAGACGCTGCGGGAGCAGAGGTGCGGTAATGGAGGAAGAGCAAACTGCGATGTGAGTTGCTCCAGTACCCTGTTAAGTGTGAAATAAAATGTTAGTTTACTTGTTAGCACTGGTGAAAACGTGGACAATGCCCTGGGCTGTTTCCTTCTCGTTCCCTCCAAAGCATTGTGACTTTTCTTTGGCGTCCTCCAGATGAATTCAGATACTATCTTAGGAGGGCCATAGCTACGGTGGGGCTTTTGGGGGCTCTACCCTCTTTCTTAAAGGCACAGCCCCACAAGAATTCCTCCTGTAAATGCTTTATTCAATCATTTTTAAAGCCATGCGCTCCTTTAAGCAGAGTGGGGTGCTGCAGCTGACTGATTACTGCACTGAGTAAGGGGGCTGGGGAAGGTGACCTCTAGGATCCCTCCTAACTCTGTGTCAAGAAATTGGTCCCTTTTAAGAGAGTTTTTCTGCCTAAGTTTTAACTTTCTTGGCTATCAAACTCCTCACCCCCACCTGCTGGCTTGTGATCAGAATTGTTGCTCAGGCTGGCAGAAGTTATTCACTTGCAGCAGCTGCGAACTGTCATCTAAAGTGGTTGACAACTTGTGATTTAGAGACCTATCCTGGTAACCACTTTCTGTTGGCTAAAAGGCTTTTCTTTCTGCACTGAGAACTTCAACCCCCCCCCCCCCCACCCACCCCCCAAAAAAAATTCCCCCACAAGCCGCAAAATCCTGGCCATGGGCCCGTGCCTTAGACGTGTTCAGACAGTAGCCCTGGTACGGAAGTCTTCATACCCAGTTATCTGCTGCAAAGCAAAGATCGTCCTGGGAGAGAGGAAGGTGGCCATTGTGGGGATTGACTCGAGGGGCCCAGATCCAGATGTTGCCCCCAGCTTCACTGGATGGCCTTGAGAGTATCCCCTCCCTCTCAGCTTAAGATACCTCATCAGGGCAGGGCCATAGGCAGGATTTTTCGGGTTTTGAGGCAACTTTTTTTCTCATGGGGCACCCATTATGCAAATTTTTTCTTGTGGGTCACAAACACACACAAACTCTTCTGCCAGAATAATCAGTGCATTCTCCATTCCCAAACAGTTCTCTTTGTCTCGCTGTTGGGGGGCCTGGGCTGGATGGGAAGTCGGGGGGTTGCAGTAAGTTGGGGGGAGAGGCCCCGCTGTAGCTACGGGCCTGCACCAGGGTGGTTTCCTTTTTTAAAAACAATTTTTTAATCTTTTAAACAAATTGTACAACACCAAGTATCAATACAAACATATACTATACCAAGTATCAATACAAACATATACTATATACTATAAACATAAGTAGGTTTCCATCCCACTATCCCTTAACTTGACAGTGTTGCTAATCGTTTGCACTCTCGTGTTTTACAAATTTACAGTTATATTTATTTATTAATTATATTTATACCCTGCCCTCCCAGCCATGGCCAGCTCAGGGTTAGTATCAATTTTTTACAGGTATCTTAACAAAATTTTCTAACTGTTTATAAAATCTTGCCCAGACATCATTGAATATATTATCACTTCTTCCTTGAAGTCCTATAGTTAAATTGTCCATTTCAGCTATGTCCATTTTCTTATAAATTATATCTTCTTTTTGCGGTATTTCTTCTTTTTCCCACAAGGATGTGTATACAATTCTAGCCGCTGTTACTAAATGAGAAATTGGGGGGGCAGGCCCTGCGAGGGGACGCCGTAGCTACGGGCCTGCACCAGGGTGGTTTCCAAGATGAAATAAGGATTTAAAAAAACCATCCCGAGAAATATCTCATTATTTGTCTTACCCCTCCCACTCCAGGCTTCTCTGATAGTCACGGAGGAGCTCCATCTCATCACCTTCGAGACAGAAGTTTACCACCAGGGCCTGAAGATTGACTTAGAGGTGAGCTCTGCCACAGCCGACCCCAGCCTTATCCTCTTGAATGTTGGTATTTGTACGTGGTTGGGGTGCAAGCCAGTGTGGTGCAGTGCTTAAGGGGGAGGCACAGGTTCAAATCCCTCCTCTGCCAGTTTGGCGTAGTGGTTACGTGCGCGGACTCTAATCTGGGAGAACCAGGTTTGATTCCCCACTCCTCCACTTGCACCTGCTGATGTGACCTTGGGTCAGTCACAAGCTCTGGCACAGCTGTCCTTGAGAAAGAGCCGTTTGTGTTGGAGTTCTCTCAGCCCTACCTGCCTCCCAGGGTGACTGTTGTGGGGAGGGGAAGGGGAAGGAGTTTGTAAGCTGCTCTGAGACACCTTTGGGTAGTGAAGGGTGGGGTATATATCCAATCTCTTCTCTTCTTTTCTGCCATCCGCAGCCTTGGGCCTGGTGAGACTCTGCCTTATGTGCCTCACAGGGTTGTGATGGGGACAGAGGAACAGAAGGCTTAGGGCTGTAGCCAGTGGTGGGGCTTTAGGGGCTCGGCCCCCTATTGATTAGGGGGGAGCCCCAGCACCACCGAGTCCCCAGCGCCCCCCACCCCCCAGACCCCTCCAAGCTGTTAGAGAAGTATTACTTTGAATTTAGATGTGCTGAAACCAGCTGCCGGTGTAATTCGACTCCTTCCTTGCTTGATTCCTTCCTTCCTTCCTTCCTTCCTCCGCTCTGCTGCTATTGGATGGCCGGGGCTCTCCCGGAATTGCAGCTGATGACCAGGCTGCTGATATCAGTAACTCTGAGGAGGCAGGCCTCACGGAGAGCAGACGGCTGAAGCCCAGTCTGTTGTAAAGGGGGTGGGGGTGGGGGAGGCTAGGCAGCCACCAAAGAGGGAGGGAGAGGGAAAGAAGAAAGGCAAGAGGGAGGCGGGCGAGCACCCCTTGTGTGGCGAGGAGATGCATGCTTTTGCTGCGGCAGGGTGGTCTTCTTTGCCTTTCTCTCCCTGTGCTTGGCTTGCTGGCCGGCAGGCAGGCAGGGGAAACCCTCTCCGCTCACTGCCCTGCCATGCGGCTGCCTCCTCTTCAGATCTCCTTGAAGAGAGTCACTCATGGTGACTCCCAAAATCCCAAAGCCGCCCCCCCAACCCCAAAACCTCCTCCTGGAACATTTGCTGGGGATGGGGCTGAGAAGGCGACTTCTCTAACTGCCTCGATTCCTACATTGGACCCCAGAGTGGAAAGCTTATTTACATCGTCCTGAGACGAGCTTTGTCATGTGTCAGAATTAGAATCCTGGTTCCAGTTGGCTATTGAAAAGAAACGTGAGGTTCTAATGGAGTAGATCCCTGACCCGGGTAACTCAGGCTAGCCCGATCTCATCAGGTTTCAGAAGCTAAGCAGGGCTGGTGCTGGTTAGTATCTGTATGGAAGGCCACCAAGGAAGCCCAGGGCTGCTACTCAGAGGCAGGCAGTGGCAAACCACCACTGTTAGTTTCTTGCCTTGAAAACCCTATAGGGTTGCCGTAAGTCAGCTGTGACTTTGCAGCACTTTACTCTCACTCACAATGTAGTAGATACAAAAAGGCTGAATTGAGTGCCAGGAGATGTCCGGCTTGACTGTCGGAGCCCAGATTCCGATCTGGCCCCCAATCGAACTTCTTTGGATGGCTTTGAGAGTATTCCCCCCCATCCCCTTAGCTTAAGTGGCCTCACCAGGGTGGTTTCCTAGATAAAACAAGATGACATGTTGGGTGGGGGCCTGAAACCCATAGCTGCCTCACCAGTGTCAGCTCCTTCCTTAGAGAAAAACACTCCGTCAGATCCAAGTGGCACACTCTCTGTTTGTTTCTTTCTTTCCTCTTCCTTTTCTGTCATTAAACTGTAACTCCCCCTCCTCTCCAGTATTCAGGCCCATAGCGACGGTGGGGATATTCAGGGCTCTGCTCCCTTTCTAAAAGGGACAGCCCCACAGGAATTCATCCAGGTGGCTCAACCCAACCTCCCCGTTTTCTGAGAGGGCTGAACAGGGGAAGGAGAAGGGGGAAGTTCCAAAGGTGTCACTGTAGAGAAAAGCCTTGCAGCTGGGTCCTGGGAGGGTTTAAAAAGGTAAAGGTACAGGTTCCCTTGCTCGAAAGCCAGTCGAATCCGACTCTAGGGTTGCGGTGCTCATCTTCGTTTCAAAGCCGAAGAGCCAGCGCTGTCCAAAGACGGTTCCGTGGTCATGTGGCCGGCATGACTAAACACCAAGGCACACGGAACACTGTTACCTTCCCATGAAGTGGTACCTATTTATCTACTTGCAATTTCTTGCTTTCGAACTGCTAGGTTGGCAGGAGCTGGAACTAGAGACGGGAGCTCACTCCGTCATGTGGCAACTCGGGTCTCGAACTGCTGAACTACCGACCTTCCACAGCCTGCAGTTCAGAGTCTTAACCATTTGAGCCACCGCAGCTCTGGGAAGCCAGGGAGAGAAGTAAATAATTTCAGTCTTGGAAGATAGACATTCACCTATCGTGTGGCTTGGGGAAGGGTGAAATACACTGAGGACTTATACAAAATTTATTATTTATTATTTTGATTTATACCCCGCCCTCCCCACAAGCGGTCTCAAGGTGGCTTACAGCATTGGTACCCTGTACCATAAAAACCATGTACAAAATTTAAACAACATTAAGCATTAAAACAATCCAACAATTAACAATTAAAGTGCTAGTGATGGTACACTTTTGATGGTAATCTCTAAATGATTCAGATGACGTACTAATAATTTTCATCAGCATCGGTGATCTTCAGCTTGGTGCGATGATATAATGCAAACCCTCCCCAGGACCAGAGTCAACCCAGACCACGGATGTTGGTGGTGGTAGAGGAGTGGTGGCTCCTAATTGAAAGCCTGGTGGAAGAGCTCCGTCTTACAGGCCCTGCGGAACTGCAAAAGGTCCCGCAGGGCCCTGATCTCTTCCAGGAGCTCATTCCACCAGTGCGGAGCTCATTCCACCAGTGCGGAGCCGCCACTGAAAAGGCCCTGGCCCTAGTGGCGGCAATGTTGTGTTCCTGACCATAGTGCTCGCTGGGGTATATATGGGGAAAGGCTGTCCCACAGGTATGTCGGACCCTGGCCATATAGAGACGAAAGGACCACAGATGGTTCTAGGGAAGGGGCCAGGGAGAGCAAAGAGGAAAGAAATGGAAGGGCATCAATACTAGGTTCCCTTTCCTGCCTTATCCCCCTCCCCCATGGGTTATGCATTTGGGAGAATCTACTGCAAGATCAGGGCGAAAAAAAGGGGCACAGATTGTTCTAGGGACACAGATTGTTCTGTGCAGTTGTGTGCAGACAGAAAAATAATGGCAAAAATGGCAGCCACACCAGAAAAAGATTTGCCCCACAATTACAGAATCCTGGCTACGGGCCTGCCAGTACTCCAGTTCCATTGCAGTGGTTGCCTGGATCCAGGGCTTTTTTTGTAGAAAAAGCCTAGCAGGAACTCATTAGCATAACAGGCCACACCCAACAGCGAAACTCATTAGTATATTAGGCCACATACCCTGACAGCACAGCTCATTAGCATATTATGCTGCATCCCCATGCCTTCCCTTGGAAGGATCTGTCCTGCGGAGAACCTGGGCAAGCTGGCTCTTGGACAGATCCTTCCAGGGCCCCCCCCTGGCCCGCCCACCTTGGAGTTGTTCTCCAAGCCTTCCCTCTGTAGCCACGCATGCAGAGGTTTTGGCTGTAGTGGGTGTGGCCAACTCTGAAGCCAGCCGGAACTCCGTTCCTGTGCATTCCTTTCCTGCCCAAAAACAGCCCTGCCTGGATCTCTTTTCATTCTCAAGACCTTTTCTTTAGATTCATGCTCCCATAGCATTGTAAGCCTTCTGTTCCTTCAGGCGCACTGTCCTGTATCCGTCACACCGACAAGAGCCTCAACGCTTCCAGTTGCCTGATGGAGGCAGCGAAAGTTGGGTGGAAGACCCGATTTGTTGGTGCTCACAGCCTCTGCTTCTTTCCTTACCGTAGACCCACTCGCTTCCCGTGGTGGTGATCTCCAACATTTGCCAGATGCCGAATGCCTGGGCGTCCATCTTGTGGTACAACATGCTGACAAACAACCCCAAGGTATGTTGGGACGGCAGAAACTGCGACACGCCCAAGGGAGCAAAGGGCTCTTCTTTTCCCGCTCCCAACTCAAGCGTTCCTCTCCCGTTGACAGAACGTAAACTTCTTCACCAAGCCGCCGATCGGCACGTGGGACCAGGTGGCCGAAGTGCTCAGCTGGCAGTTCTCCTCCACCACCAAGCGAGGGCTCAGTATAGAGCAGCTGACGACGCTCGCCGAGAAACTACTGGGTAATGGATGTGGCTTTTTCTGGTGTTTGTGTGTGTTAGCTCTGATCTTAGTTGTTTTAATGATGTGTTAGAAACATAGAGTTGGAAGGGGCCATACAGACCATCTAGTCCAACCCCCTGGCCCAGTGCGGTAAGGGGTGTTTTTTTGTTTGTTTTAATAGTTTTTAAAGGGTGATTTAGAAGATCCCGGCTGGATCAGACCAGTGGTCCATCTAGTTCAGCCTCCTGTCTCACACAGTGGCCAACCAGTTCCTTTGGAGCAGGGGTGTCAAACATGCGGCCCAGAGGGTCGAATCAGGCCCCCGGAGGGCTTCTATCAGGCCTGCAGTGAAACTGGCTGTCTTCTGCTTCTTCTTCCCGTTCTGCTGCTGCTGCATCCTCATACGTTTGCAGCTTACAGATACACACCTGAACACCATACTCAAGATTGCAACAGCACAGGCATTTTCATGCAATAATTCAAAGCAAGAGGTGTCAGTTATCAGACATGGTTAAATAAACAAAATATTGCAAGAGTGCTGATGTTTTAAACATGTTTTTATTTTAAGTAAAAAAAAACCTTTGTGTTTGTGTCCTTTATAAAGTTTATATCTCCGCTATCTGGCATTACATTTTATGACACATATGGCCCGGCCCGACAAGGTCTCATTTATGTCAGATCCAGCCCTCATAACAAATGAGTTTGACACCCCTGCTCTGGAGGGCCAACAACAGGGCATAGGGGCCGAGGCCTTCCCCTGATATTGCCTCCTGGCTCTGGGACTCAGTTAGCTGCCTTGGTAGCCCTGCTAAGGGAAAAAAGGCGAGGTATAAATTTTATAAAATAAATAAATAATGGCCTCAAGGAAGATGCCTATTGGTCCTTTTCAAATCCGCACTCCTCCTAGCTCCCAAGTATCAACTTAGACTGGCAGTGACATTTCCTGGATATTCTCTTTTGAACGGAGGATTGCCACAGCCATGTACAAAGCAGTGTGACATTGGATGCCCAGCCCCCAAAAAATTAAATTCCAGGAAGATTTTTCAGGCCGACATTCTTCCTGATGGCTTTTCTTTTTTCCGCATTCCAGGGCCGGGCGTCAATTACTCCGGGTGTCAGATAACATGGGCAAAGTTCTGCAAGGTAAGACCTTTAGAAGTCCAGCTGTGTGGTGTCTGGCCCCAGATGGGACTCTGGTTTTCTTACCTGGATCTGCTGTTTGTCTAGGAGAACATGGCAGGCAAAGGCTTTTCTTTCTGGGTCTGGCTGGATAACATCATTGACCTGGTGAAGAAGTACATCTTGGCCCTCTGGAATGAAGGGTGAGTGAGCACCTGCCCTCAGGGACACTGCTGTTGCCAGCATCTTTATCTGGAGAGGGGTTCTCTGCCTTAATAGAGAGGTCCTCCTGGGGCAGGGGATCTCAACTCTTCTGAGCCTGCAGGCACCTCTGGGCTTGATACAGTGTGGTGCGTGCAGCCACAAAATGGCCACCGCAAATGGCTGCTGCAGGATGTGGAGCTGGCCACATCCTCGTGCTGTGGTGGCAGCTGCCACCAAAGCAACGTCTTAAAAAATCTGTCCAGTCAATCAGATCTCCAACGAGCAGTCAGAAAGTCTTGTTGGAAAACCCCGCCTGGCCCTCCCACTTTTAAAAAACACTTGGTGGCCGCGAATTTTTCAGGGGGACCCAAGAGGGGGCAGTTGAGCTCATTGAATTAACATAGCTGATTCAGTCACTTGGGGTGATTAAATTTCCTGAGCTAATGAATGGAGCTAATTCGGTTACTGGGCGATGCTTGTCTCTGGGCGAAGGTGGGCCAGGCCCTTTGCCCGTGCTTAGAGGCCAGCTGGCTGGCTCCCCGCATCCGAGGCTGGGGGCGGGGCTGGCTGTGCTGGCACCAGGGGTATGCTCCTTCCCCGCCCACTTTTACTTGCTCCGCTGGGCAGACGTCAGGCAGCCACTCTCACTGTTTCCCTCCCGACCAGCACACCCCCTGTCACCCCCCACCTCCTGGGGGAGGGGAGGGGAGACCGGGAGGGGGGGGACTGGGAAGGAGCGTTGCCCCAAGGTGCCCATGTGGCTACGGGCCTGCTTGGTGGGCACCAGGAAAGGTGTTGGTGGGTTCCATGGTGCCCGTGGGCACCATGTTGGGGACCCTGTCTTAGGGCTTCTGTAGTAGGAGGGCTTGATGCCGGAGCAGCAGACATTGTGGGCAGAGAGCTGTAGGCTTGCAGATATCTAGGGAGCAAAGCCTGAGTCTGTCTTTCCACAGGTACATCATGGGTTTCATCAGCAAAGAGCGCGAGAGGGCCATCCTGAGCACGAAGCCCCCGGGCACCTTCCTGCTGCGTTTCAGTGAGAGCAGCAAGGAAGGTGGGATCACCTTCACGTGGGTGGAAAAGGACATCAGTGGTAAGGAGTGCAGTCCCAAATGGCCTAGGCTGTCTCTGGCCCTGCTTATCGGAGATCCTCAGCGGGAAATAGCAGGGATAAACACTCTGCCAGTGATCTGCGGCTGAGCCCCCTTCACGTGCCTTTTCAGGACACAGTCAGTCAACCAATCAGCCTTTATTGGCATGATGTACGGAACATACGACTCACTTTGCAAAGAATACTGAACACCTTCTTGAAGCTTCATACAGAGATCTTGCAGGACGCAAGGATTAGTGGCGCAAGTTGGCCACTCCTCTAGTCTGTCTTCCCACGTTGGCGGTCTTGGGCTTTTTCTGGTGTCCAGCCAGTTAGAATAGTTTCATACCAACAGACCAAAAACCACTGTGGTAAAATTAACAATGACACATTTAATAATTCTATGAGCATCAATTTGTGGAGCCATTAATCTTACAACATGGTTAGAGAATTCAGACATAGCCAAAGCAAAGTCCAACATAATCATATCCTCGAAGAGCACACCGGTTTTTATACTCATTTCAGCAATCTTCCTCATGAGTATGAAGTCTTATAAAGTTGGAAGATGTCAACCTCTTCATTCTTAGTTTCTTTTTAAAAACAGTATAGCTTCTTATTTGTTTTCTTCTTAGTCAAATTCTCCTTCAGTTCCATTGCAAGTACTTGAGTAGGAGCAAGCCAATTACTAAATTTCTAGTCGTAGCAACCAGTCTAAAAAATTTTTGTGGCAACAGGCCTACTTTGAATTGGCTGGCATTTGCTTTCTGTCTCACGTTGTTGGTTAGTAGCTCTCTCTGTTAGGGAGTAGCATTTCAGACTAGATAGCCGTCTGGTAGCGATGCTGATCCCGTGAATTTAGGCAGATTGTGAGAGGGAGGGCAGGAAGGGGTAATCCAGTGCTCGGCTCTCGGGGCCCTTCCATATATGCTGAGGGTAATGCTGATAACCACTTTTGGGGTCAGGAAGGGATTTTCCTCCCGACCAGATTGGCCCAGAGATCCTGGAGGCTTTTTGCCTTCCTCTGGGTATAGAGGAGGGATCACTGGGGGGGGGGGGAGCAGTAAATTTCCTGCATTATACAGGGGGTTAGACTAGATGGCCCTTGGGGGTACCTTCCAGTTCTATGTTTCCCAGCAACCGGACTTAATTTCCCCCAAGGTAACTACCTCGGTATGCAGCAAGCTGTTTCTGAGAGTGATAGCTCACCATGCACATCTGTTCTATTATGTGGTACAGTAAGCAGCACTAGGTGAACTCAAGCCAAACGCACTACGCTGCCCAATGCAGCAGAAAGAGCCTTACTTTCCAGAATTATGTGTGGGAAATTTTCCTCCCAGCTTCCAAACATAAAGATCATTGTAGATTCAGGACTTAATTTGCCCATTCAGGGCTGAATGTCCACTCTAGGCACTAATTAAAGGCATGCTTTCCTTAATTGAAGAGGAATCAACAGACTGGCACAGTCCTGCCTACTAGCGTGTACCAAAGTGCATTAAATGTAGAAAGCGAGTTACAAAATACAGAGTTGGTTGCTTAATACAAATCAGTATGTGAAGTTTAGTCTGTGCTTCCTTGACTCTCTGGCCCGCGGCTTCCCAGATCTTCTTTGCCTCCCCATTTCAAGTTCCTCCTGTCCCTAGACTTGGTGTGATATTTTTCTCACAACCAAACTGATCTTAAACTTCTTCTACAAGTTGTACTGTCCATGATCATTCCACTGCAGGTGGCCTTCTCCTAAACAACATTCATGAGAATATAGTGACATCATGGCAAGCTCAGCCAACGGCTAGGGGATTATCCCACCTCTGATAGCTAGTTTTTCCAGTTCTCTGGATATAACCTTATTTCCCAACTTGTGGTTTTATTTCAGTCATTCTTAGCAAATCTCCTCATTGACCTTGGTTCTCCCCTCCCCCCTTTTTGGCCGGAAGATTGTATACTTTGTTCCTTTTTGTTTAGTCTATGCTTCCTTGACTCTCTGGCCTATGGCTTCCCAGACCTTCCTTGCTTCCCCATAGCAAGCTCCTACTGTCCCTAGACCCACTGTGATATTCTTCTCACAGTGAAGCTGACCTTAAACTTCTTCCACTGGTCGTACTGTCTACAAGCATTCCATTACAGAAAGCCTTCCCTGAAGCAACATTAATGAGTGACATCACAGCGTGCTCAGTGACATCACAGCATGCTCAGCCAATGGCCAGGGATTTGTCCCACCTCTGATAGCTAGTTTTTCCAGTTGTCTGGATATAATTTTTATTTCCCAACTTGTGGGATTTTTTCAGTCATTCTTAGCAAATCTCCTCATTGACCTTGGGTTCCCTCCCTTTTGGCCAAAAAGTTGTACACGTTCCTTTTTGGAGTGTGCCTGTTAATTTCCTTTTTGCCCATTGCTTACCCTTGTTGCAGGGAAGACGCAAATCCAGTCTGTGGAGCCGTACACCAAGCAGCAGCTCAACAGCATGTCCTTTGCCGAGATCATCATGGGCTACAAGATCATGGATGCCACCAACATTCTGGTTTCCCCACTTGTTTACTTGTATCCTGATATCCCCAAAGAAGAGGCCTTCGGAAAATACTGCCGTCCCGAGAGCCAGGAGCACCCTGAAGCTACCGACCCAGGTAGTTGTTGACTTTCTGTGCCATTCCCCAATTTTGGGTTGCAAGATCCCAAGATGGTGTTGATTCAGTTGACTGTTCTTGAGTGGGGGAGGGGCGTCTACAGCAGGGCCCGCAAACCCTTGTTGAGCCTGCGGGCACATTTGGGATTCTGACATGGCATGGTGGGCGCAGCAACAAAATGGCTGCTACAAAATGGCTGCCTCAGGCGGAGCCATCCACAAAATGATGGCCACAGCTTAACTTCAGTAACACAGTATAGATCCTAGTGCTGTGGTGGCAGCTGCTGCCAAAGCAACATTAAAAGAAAAAATCTGCACAGCCAATCAGAAGCCTTGCTGGGCAAAAGCTCTACCTGGCCCCACCCACTTCCTCAAAACACTGGGGAGGTGCCAGCAGGCACCACAGTGTCCACAGGTCCCACGTTGTGGGGGACCCTTGGTCTGTTAGAATATTGGTGTCTGCTTGACTTGCTTGTGTGTGCTGTGTCTTGGGTACATACGGATTTTAAAAATATTTGTATAGATTTTTAATGTGAAAATATCAAATTCTATAAAGGTATCATATACAAAAATCACATACTCATAACCAAAAATACAAATACAATCCAAATCTCAGTGTAATAATTAGTCAATATAGAGAGAGTCATCAAGTTCATCAGAAGAAAAGCTCAAGTCAGTATTCATCAAGTCAGATTAATCAGTTCAATCTGTTCAAACGAGGATACCGGGCATAGATACTTTCGTTTCGAATATCTTTTTCAGGGTGACAAACAGTAAAAGGCTTCAATTTCTGCAAACTTTAATTTCAAGGTGACAGGAAGTCACAATTATTTCCTCAGTCTGTACAAAACGTTTTCAAATTCGGGCACCGTTCTTCAACTCCAAACTGAAATTACTCAGAGCATTTGGAAATAATTGTGACTTTCCGTCAAGTTAAAGAAGTTTGCAGAAACTGTAACCTTTTACTGTTTGTCTCGCTGAAGAAGATACTTGAAACGAGAGTATCTATACGCAGGATTCTCATGTGAACTGATTAATCTGATGCGTCTTCCAACTTGATGAGTACTGACTTGAGCTTTTCTTCTGATGACCTTGACGACTCTCTATATATTGACTAATTATTACATTGAGACTTGGATATTCGGGGGGGGGGTTTGCCCCCCTCCAGGGGATTTTTTTTGAATTGCATTTTATATAAGGAGTACAAACTACAACGAAAATAGGAGGGGGAACTACAATTAAGGAGAAAGAAAAGATACCCACTACTGACTAAAAACCCAAGAGAGGAGATCATCAAATTAGCTTAAATACAAAGCCATCCCTTAAAACGTTAACAATTTTATGAACTTAGTCAGACATGCTAATATATCTTTTAAATCTTAAATTTAACTGTTGGTAAAAAAAAAAACCAGAGCCTCTCATTATTAAAAACAGTGTTTTCAGAGGCACAATTCAGAGTCCTTCAGCCTTCATTTTCTGGATTGTATTTAATGTATTTTGGTGTTTTTGGTTATGAGTATGTTATTTTTGTATATGCTACCTTTATAGAATTTGATATTTTCACATAGAAACTATTTAAAATATTTTAATAATCAGACTTTAAAACAATGTTTATAAGATTTATTTTTAAAAAATTTCAGTGCATTTCATTTCAGCTGACTTTTTCTTGTTTATTATACAGTTATGTTATATACTGCAATCCTTTTAGTGGTTGGGTACATATTGTAAGTAGTGTAAGTAGTGTTTGGGGAGTACTTGTACTGCCGGAGCTACTGAACTCAGGATCATGTGGTGGTTCTGTGACAGGGCAAGGAAGTCTCTATCCCATTTGCTCTTCCTTCCTCTCCTATTAGAAGAAGAGAAGAGATTGGATTTATACCCCCCCCCTTCACTACCCAAGGGAGTCTCAGAGCAGCTTACAAACTCCTTTCCCTTCCCCTCCCTGTGAGGTGGGTGGGGCTGAGAGAGCTCTGACAGAAACTGCTCTTTTTTAAGAACAGCTGTGCCAGAACTATGGCTTGCCCAAGGTCACCCAGCAGGTGCAAGTGGAGGAGTGGGGAATTAAACCCGGTTCTCCCAGATTTGAGTGTGCGCACTTAACCACTACACCAAACTGGCTTTGTTGAATATGGGGGGGTGGGGAGGAATCCACATAACTTATCAATGTGAGTGGCATCACAGAGAACACTCCACCCCCCCCCCCATTGTAGGGGATTGGTGTGTTTATTTTTATACCAACTTACTGCCCCTTATCTTTGCAACCTTGAGGCTGAGAATAAGATGGCACAGAAGTGAACCAAAAAAAAAAAAAGGAAAGGTGGACAAAGGTTAGATAGCAGGTCAGCATAAGCCACTGTAAATTGTTGCCGTTTCTTAAGGTCCTCAAATTTTTAAAAAGAATCAGTGCAAGAATTTTCAGGGTAAGTTCAATGCGTCCACCTTTGGTCTCCTCTGCCAACTCCAGACCTTTCGCTACTCCCCACTCCACAAAATACGATTTAGAGGTGGGAGAAAGAGAGAGCAGCACAGCAAGCCGCCTCAGAAATACATTAAAAGCTGCACAGCAGCTGCCGATCTCATCTTGCAGTTAGCGGGCCTCTACACACTATTTCCCACATCCCTGAATCTCTCTAAATCCTGCTTTGTGGGAAGTAGCAAAGGGAGCTGAAGTCTAGAGAGGGGAAAAACCCTTGCTGCTCTGCAGGATACATCAGCTAAGAGAATGCTTCTCCCTCTCCCCAAACAGGCACTGCTCCCTACCTAAAGACCAAGTTCATCTGCGTGACCCCGTAAGTATTTCCTCTTCGCAAGAGGGGTGGGATCCCACAGCATGGAGGAGGGTGCAGGGTCTTCAGAACTATCCGGTGCGGCTTGTTATGGGCAGAGTTCACTTCCTTGGCTGTGTTTTGCCTGGCTCCTCTTCAGAAATGGCCCTGTTCCCTAAACTACAAGACGAAATATGGCCCCAGATGGGGGAGGTGGTGTTCTAGGTCTGGCTGTGCCTCATTGCAGCAGGGCTGAGTTCCAGGCTTCCGGGATAAGGCCAGACTGTTACCTCAGGTTGCCAACCTCCAGGTGCTGCCTGGAGATCTCCCAGTATTGCAGCTGATTCCCAGACAATAGAGTTCATTTCCCCTGGTGGAAATGGCTGCTTTGGGGGGTGGGCTCTTCTATGGCATTATATACCAGTGGGGTCTCTCCCTTCCCCAAACCCCGCCCTCCCCAGGCCACACACCCCAAATCTCCAAGTACTGCCTAACACAGCTCTACCACTAAAGCTGCCGTCTCCTCTTCTCCCTCGCTCCCACCCCTTTTCCAGGACAACTTGCAGTAGCACCATTGAGCTGCCCATGTCTCCCCGCACCCTCGAGTCTCTGATCCATTTCGGCAATAATGGCGAAGCAGCAGAGGGAAATGCCAGCGGCCAGTTTGGTGAGTGTGGGGTCTTTGGCGGTGCTGGAGGAAGGGGGGTGGGTGCTCAGCACTCTGCTGTTACATCTGTTGTCGCAAGAACCACTGAAGCGTTCAACGTGTGGCGCTTGGGGAGCTGAACATAAGCACTCTGAAGTCTCCTTGACTGGTTTTGCATGTGCCTAACTCTTTCCATGGGGTCGCAAAGAGTCGGACTCGACTGTGCAACTGAACAACAGCAAACTCTTTCCTGGTGGAATGCAGGGGGCTTAACCAAATGCTTTGCTTTGGCATGCCTTGGATAACTGAATCAAGTCACGCGGGTTCGTGGAGTTAGGAGGGAGGCGGAACAGAAAGGGGCTTAAAGACTGGCACGGCGCGAAATTTCAGCTGGGTTCAGGAAGGGGAAGGAAGACCAACAAGGAAGAGGGTTCTGTGATGAGGACGAAAGGGAAATGGAGGTTATGGGGAGGGAACTGGGCTGATAGGAGAGAGGGCTCTGGAGAGTTTTCAGAGGTGGGAGATTAATGTTAAAAAAGGAAGGGGGCTCCCACAAAGAGACCCGGAAGGCTTGGCTGAGGGCAAAGCAAGCAGCAAGAGGGCCTAGAGGAAAACAGGAAGGGGGTGAGAAGGAACCGTGCGATGCAGTGTTCAGAGGGCCGCGTCTACTACAGGCTTTTTTAAAAATTCAGATTCTCCTGGAAAAAGGCTGAATCCTGTGGCCTCTATACATTATGCCAATTTGCTTATGTTTATGTAACTTACCCCACTGCTGCTTGACACTGCAGGAAGGGGTGAGCTCTGCAAGGCAGTCTAGCTTTACTTGCTGAGGACACGAAAAATGCTGTACTGGAACTTTGAGTAGTTTAAAAAATAGTCTTTCTTGCGGATGCTGAATTCCACAGCTGCTATCCTGTTATGTGCCCTGATCTGGATAGCCCAGACCAGCCCGATCTTGTCAGAGCTTGGAAGCTAAGCAGGGTCAGCCCTGTCTAGTATTTGGATGGGAGACCTCCCAAGGAATACCAGGGTCGTGATGCAGAGGCAGGCAATGGCAAACCACCTATGAATGTCTCTTGCCTTGAAAACCCTACAGAGTTGCCGTAAGTCAGCTGTGACTTGACAGTACTTTCCGTCACCATCCTATTGTGTGCCCCCTCTTGCATATTTGTTGTTCAGTCATATAGCCGAGTCCGACTCTTCATGACCCCATGGACCACATCACGCCAGGCCCTCCTGTCTTCCATCATACTCCACAGTTTGCTTAATTTCATTGCATATACATGAAATCAAAAACCGTGCATAGCCCCAAGAGTGCTGAAGGTTCTGACTTAGTTGTGTAGTTGGACAATGGTGTTCGCCTTTCTGAGGCTTAACTGAGCACCCCTGTATTGCAGCTGGAACATTTTCCTCTCTTATTTTCCCTGCATCTCCTGCAGAATCCTTGCAGTTCGACATGGAGCTGACCCCTGAGTGCGCCTCCTCACCCATGTGACCAGCCCCGCCTAATCAGCTGATCGTTTCTGGCTTCCTGGCATGAAACAGCTCCTCCTCCTGCACAGTCATGGAACCCAACCAAACAGCCACCGACTTGGCAAGAGGCACGTGGTCGTCGGTTCTCCTCTGGCCACCTTGAGCATACCATGGCTGGGAGCTCCTTGCCTGACTAGAGGGGAGAGTCCTGTTTTTAGTTTTTGAAAGATTTATTTTTCCGTATGTATAAAGGTATTTGTTTAAGGAGTCTCTTTGTGTACGTGTTTTGGTAGACCAAGTGCCTCTTTGCAACCACTCTTCAGTTGTATCTCTTGGCTTCTTGTACACATTTGTTGCATGCCACAAAAACACTGCTTCTCTGGCTCTTGCTAACATCCAAGCATATGCAGTAACAAAGAGACTGAGTCTTCTTAATGCACAAGTCGGATCCCCCCCCCCCCAACAAGTTGTTGGGAAGGCAGATGGGAGGGCATTTTTTTATTCCCTGGTAAAGATCTATTTTGAGTTTGCCCTGCCTTCTGCTTTGTTAAGTGGTGCAAAACGAAACATTTTTTTAAAGTAGTACAACAGCCCTGTGAAGTAGGCAGTTGTTCTCAGGCAATCCTGGCAGCCTGGTCACCTGACTACCTTGCACTTTGATGCCTGTGCCTGGAGCTCCACACTCCCTGAGTGTTCCAATCTTAATGATGGGGGGGGGATCGAAAGAGTAATGTTCTCTCTGGGCTGTGCAGTATAACTGTGTCAGAGGTGGGATTTGAATCTGGGTCATCCAGACCAAAGTCACTTTCTTTCTCCACAGTTCTTCTTGTGCTGTAGGGCTGGGAATTATTTGCTCTCAGCTCCTAAGGCCCCCAGTCCCAAATAAGGCAGGATTCTCTGAATTAACAGCTCAGCTGTTTGCCTTCTGTTGCCAGTCCCAGTATCCCAGATTTGGACGGCACAGGCTGGTCAGGTCTTGGAAGCTAAGTAGGGTCGATCCTGGTTAGTACTTGGATGGGAGACCACCCAGGAAGTCCAGGGTCACCATGCAGAGGCAGGTAATGGCCAACCACCTCTGTTCTTCTCTTGCCTTGAAAACCCCATGAGGGGTTGCAATAAGAAAGGTGTAACTCAAGGGCGCTTTCGGCCACCGTTCTGTGTGTCAGGAGTAGATCTTTGAAATGGTGGGGTTTTTTGGGGGGGAAATGGAACCCAAAGAGCCAGTTTCATCCGCTTCATTGCATGGACTGGGCCATTGTTTTCTCCTTGCGAGATCCTTGTATTCTGATCTGTAGCGAAAGGCACACTCTGCGTCAGTCTCATCCGCGTTCTCGGTGCCCTCTCTGTGCCTCTTGCTGTGGATTTGTGGCTTACCCCGGCAGTACGTGGTGCCCTCTGCTTGGCTGGGATGTTGGCACTCCAGTGCAGGACAAGAAAGTTCCAGTGATGCTGAGCAGCTGGTTGCAAATTTCAGCGGTGGGACTTGCTTACTCTCTCCCTGCAGCGGCAAGAGAAAGCAGCGGGATGAGTTCTCCAGTATTAGTTAGAGGAGGCTGGACAGGAGGTAGAAGAGGTTGTAGCCAAAGCTTTTTAGGTTAACCTGTTCCCTACTGGGATGTTTGCCATTAGAGGGACGGGATTGTCTCCCTTTTTTTGTAATGCCAAACTAGAAGCATTCGGACCAGAGCAAAGCTGCCCTGGTTTCTTCTAACCAAATAGCTTGTTCATGCCACTCTGCGCCTTATTATCAAGCAGACCCTCTCTCCTTCTCCCCCCCCCCTATGCTGTCTAGACCATAAAGGTTTTAACCTTTTTTGTATATTTTATTGCTGTATCTACAAGCTTCGACTTTCTCTAAAATAAATGTTCCAATGGCACCTTTTCCCCCCCTTTGTGGGAGAGTAGCGGTGAGTGTTTTGTGTGTATTATCTCTGTGTGATGTGGAAAGCAGAAGAAGAGAAGAGTTGGTTTTATACCCCCCTGTTCACTACCTGAAGGAGTCTTGGAGCGGCTTACAATTGCCTTCCTTTCCTCTCCCCACGACAGACACCCTGGGAGGCCGGTGGGGCTGAGGGAGTTCGGAGAGAACTGTGACTGGCTCAAGGTCACCCAGCAGGCTTCATGTGGAGGAGGAGTGGGGAATCCAACTTGGTTCTCCAGGTTAGAGTCTGCCACTATTAACCACTACACCATGCTGGCTCTCCCAAGAAGGGCTTTGGAGAAGACTGGGGGGGTGGGGGTGTAATCTTGTGACTGCTAATGAACCTGCCTGTTGTGAGGGACCTAAACAATATGATAGAGGATCAAAATAAGGCCTTCACCGACTTTTCATGTATTTGGTTTATACATGAATGGCTCCTTCGCTGGACGTTTTCAAGAGGAGGCCGGACAACCATCTTTCGGGTATGTTGTAGGGCTATCTTTCAACTATGCTCCTGCAGAGTGCAGGGGGTTGGACTAGATGACCTGCAAGATCCCTTCCAACGCTAACATTCTATGATTCTATGATCCACCTCTCACTGAGACTCAAGGTAGATTACAACAGCATAAGACAATGCATTCATTGCATTGTTTTATGGTGGGATGTTATGAAAATCTGAAACAAAGCATAACAATTGGGGGCCTGCAAAACTTGCAAGGGGGAATCCCATCTCCCCCCCCCCTTCGCAAGTCCACCCAACCACCTGCCTTGAAGCCCAAACGGAAATGATCAGATCCATTCAGCAAAATGGTTTAGACAAGGTCTGGTGGAGTTTGGAAGGATCTCTTAGAAGTGGCTGATGCTAGACCTCACAATCACAGCTGAACGCAAACCCTAATATTGCTGTGATTTTTCTGTCTGGCAGAAATTAGCTATGCCAAAAAATAAACAGCACCCGTCTCTCTCTCCAAGAAAAACTGGCTGTTGCCCAGAAGCACATACAAAAATGTGGCTTGTTCACTGCTGCCATGAACCAGATTCTGTGTAGCCCAGACACTTTGCTCAGCACAGGCTGTTTACCTCTGTGGTTCTGTCTAGCTTTTTGTTTGAGCCCAATGCTGCGGTAAAAGAGCGCCCCCTGCTGTTAAGAACGGATCATGGCACCTTTAAGACCAGCAAAGTTTATTCAAGGTATAAGCTTTCGTGTGCATGCACCCTTCTTCAGATCCATTAAAATGAAAATTACCTGTCCATATAGGTGGACGGTAAACAGCAAATTAGCATACAGCATAATGAAGATGTTTAACAGATTCAAGAACCAAACAGGAATAACAGTTTATATGCTATATACGGTTACCATTTGTTTGGGTTTAATTCTGGGGGGAAATACCTTGAAGGAAATAAATATATGAAAATTGAAGATGAATGGGAAGATGTCTTCTTAAGTCTGGAATGCTGAGAGACATCATAGGTTAGTTTAGAATAGCGATTCCCAACCTTTTAGGTGTGGTGACCCACAAGTCCATATTTAAAAGAAGAGAAGAGATTGGATTTGTACCCTGCCCTTCATTGGCCAAAGGAGTCTCAGAGCGGTTTATAATCTCCTTTCCCTTCCACTCCCCTCCCCACAACAGACACCCTGTGGGGTAGGTGGGGCTGAGAGAGCTCTTTCCAGAACTCTTGAGAGAACAGCTCTGAAAGAATTTATGACTGACGCAAGATCACACCAGCAGCTCCATGTGGAGGAGTGGGGAATCAAACCTGGTTCTCCCAGATTAGAGTCCGCACTCCTAACCACTACACCAAACTGGCTCTCTTTCTGGCGTTCCCTGGCATACATATAGGTAGACCACTACTTGGTGCAGTGACCCATCAAGGACTGGGCTAACATTTTTTAACCTCCTAGGCAAACAATGACGTTGGCACCCATCTAGTTGTGTCTGAGAGAAGGACAGATGAGGTGTCTCCTTGTGATAGAGCAGGATCCCCAACATCACTGATGCAGGGATTTCATCAGGCACCCCCACCTCCTCAAACCCATCCCAGTCTTTACAATGTACATGTCCCTTAGCCACAGTCACTGGGGGGAAACGTTCTCCCAGTCATTGAACTATGATGTTTCCCCCTTCCACCAGGCTTTCTGGTTTTACCAGGAGAGGTTTCATTACACTAACCTGGGACCCTTAATCCTTCTATGCTAATACATGGAGCCCCTCAACCACCACAGGATCACTGAGACCTGGGTTCATGATTCTCCACAGAGGCTTTGGGACATTTGAAGTGCTCTGTGTGTCAGTTATAGAGTTCTCTGTCTCTCTAGTCCCAGGTTGTTATTTTCCTGGACCTCACAGCAATGCTTCCTCTAAGCTGTGGAGTCTTGTGAGCAAAAATTCTACTTTGTGAGCTACTGGCATTGAAGTTGTGAGCGAACGACTTGGCTGCTGCATAAATTTGTTTGCTCTGGAGCCATCCTCCCTGAGCTAAGGCAAAAATGTGTGAGCTGGAGGCTAAAAAGCTGTGAGCTAGCTCACACTAACTCAGCTTAGAGGGAATACTGCCCCCCCCCCGGTGCTGTACCAGTTCTCTCCAGTTCCCTTTTTCTCACTCTTCATTTCTGAATTTTCATATCCATCTCTATGCTGGTCTTTCCCCTTTGTTTTTTGTTCTCTGGGTTGGCTAATCCTTCTTTTGGTTCTTTTCCCCCTTTCTTTCCTATGCCATTCCCCATTCTAAATTGTTAGATCTGGCTAATTCAATTTGTTTCTCAGTTTGGGGCCATTTAATTCTCTCCTTGATCCTCCTTATTTCTCTCTGTGCTTGCTTACTGCTAACGGCTCATCTTTCTAACTCCACCAGGCTTAATTTTCTTGGGTGGCATTTTGGTAACACTCCTCCTAACACTTTGACCTTTTTGGACTTTACCTCAGGAATGTCAAATCTTTTCGCCACACCTGCCCTTTAAAAAAAAAAATCTGGGATCCTTATTACAATTCCTATTTACTCCGTACCTTAGCTTTTACCACAGGAGGGCAAATCCCTTTTGCCAGACTTTATTTTCCCTTTTAATCTTCTGTGACCCTTTCAGCAGCACCTCACACTGTACTTGAGACGTTTACCTGAGGAAGTCTCTCTGGTCACAAACAAACTCCTTTTCCTCACCCACACAAAGCTACAAGCATTCTCTACTTTACCCAGGCTTTTTACCTAAAGAATGTCTTTTTAATTTGGAGGTTTGTATTCCAGCACTGATCCAACACTTTTTGTGACGACCTTTTCACTCACCACCCTCCGTCACCACCCTGCCACACAGGTTCCGGGTCACAGGTGGGTCAGGGGGTCCTAGTTCACCACCCGTCTCATCTCTAGTTAACTGGTAGGGAATCCCAACCTTTCTGCACATGCAGGGTCTCCCTCTTTCCCCTTCCCCAGAAATGGCCACCATTTACTTTTCCAGGAAAAAGTGATACTGTACCCTCAGAGACTCCATTGGGATGGGCAGATGCTGCTCCCTGCCTTGTGGGCCTGCTTTTGCCTGCATCCCTCCCAATCTTACTACAGAGTTCTGGCTTGGGTTGCTCCGTGATAGAGGGTTGGGGATGAATTTCTGAGGACAGAGATGGCTGTGTGTGAGGTCACTTCTCACCCTGCGCTGCCTTGCTGGTTTTGGCCCCTGACTCTGAATTGGGGCCTCCATTGTTGCCCTAGTGACAGCCAGGCCTGTCGTCCTGCTAAATGAGGTCATAATCCAGTGAGGTAACACAAGGGTTCAGTGCTTTCGTTGAGCACCCAGAGTTGCTCAGCCGTGTCTTGCAGCCCACTCACTGGGTGTCATGATCGTTGTGCTGCGTCTTCTGAGGCTGAGTGGAGCTTCAGTGCCTTCCCCACGGGGAGAAGGTTCAGAGCAGTTCTCAGAGGAGGCCTCCAAAAGAGGCTGTGGACTCTTCCCTCCAGCAGTCCCAGGTGGGTAGCCCTGTTGGGTCTGCAGTAAGAGGCCCACTCTAGTTTGCCCCCCTAAGAGTGAAAGGAGAGAGTGTGAATGTGCTCTCAAAGACTCCATTAGGATGGAAGTGTCGGAGGGGCTGCTCCCTGCTCTGGGGGCCTGCCCCCCCCCCACGGTGTATTGTTTTGGGTCAGTCTGTGATAGCCTGGTGGGGATGTATTTCTGAGGACAGCCCTCCCATCCTTACAAGGCCAGACTGATAACGCCGTCTAGCAGAGCCAGCTCCCACGGACTCCGAGGCAATGTTTACGCAAAGCTGCTGAGCTGCGAGCAAGCGGGAACGGAAAGACAGAAGCAACATAAAATGGCAGCTAGCTGACACCGGGCCTACCGTCCTGCTAAATGATGCCATAATCAAATGAGGTAACACAGGGGTTCAGTGCTTGCGTCAAGCACCCAGAGTTGTTCAGAGTGGCCACCAAGGCTTGCAGCCCACTGTGTCTCGTGATCTTTGCGCTGTCTTCTGAGGCTCAGTGGAGCTTCAGTGCCTTCCCCAAGGGGAGAAGGTTCAGAGCAGTTCTCAGAGGAGGCCTCCAAAGAGGCTGTGGACTCTTCCCTCCAGCAGTCCCAGGTGGGTAGCCCTGTTGGTCTGCAGTAAGAGGCCCACTCTAGTTTGCCCCCCTAAGAGTGAAAAGGCCACCATTTACCTTTCCCAAGAAAAAGTGCTCATGTACCCTCAGAGACTCCATTGGGATGGGGGGCGGGCCCTGTTCCCTGTCCTGTATCCCTCCCCATCTCACCACAGGGTGCTGGTTTGGGTCGCTCTGGGATAGGCAGTTGGGGATGAATTTCTGAGGACGGAGATGACTGTGTGAGCTCTGCTCTCATCCTGCACTGGCTTGCTGGTTTTGACCCTTTCTCATCCCCCCCCCCTCAATTTTCCATAACAGGCTCTATAGCAAGGGGTGAGCCTGCTTTGAAAAGGGACAGGTCTCAGTGTGTGAATGAAATACACAACACAA